GCAGAACGCTGCACGTCATTACATTGCTCCGTTCAAGTGTTCTGTCATTTGTGTGGGTAGGGGTTAAACATGCACACCAAATTAAAGAAAGGCATTTGTTAATGAAGGGTGATAGAGGTGTGGATTTGATCCACTGCCAAGGTTTTGTAAAGGTGCTCTGATGTACTCCTAGATTATTTCTCTGTAAATGTGGCTCATACACTGCACTGAACCAGTAGAAGGATATGTGCTACCACCATATAGACACAGACCTCTGGTGCATATGCCTAACACACTGACAGTTTACCTTAAAATTCATAGTGTATGAGTCCAGGCAGAGTTGACATAACCGTCTGGTCAGCTTTCTTGCAAAATACACATTCTTAGAACTTTCTTGCATTAAGAAAGAAAAAAAAAAAGAAGTTCTTTATTTGTAAAGTGTTAGTGCTGGTGATAACACCAAAATTCAGAAATCATAGAATTTTCCTCTGCATGTTGCATCCCCCCTTCATATCACAAGATTGCAAATCACAAAATTTTAGGCTATAAGAATGGATTTTTAGTTCCTTTAATCAGCAGTTTGTGGCCTTCAGGTTGTTCATGAGTGCCTTCATAACAATGGTGGATTTAACTGTCCTTTTAAAACGAGCTGTACCACAACGGCTTGAATCCATGATACCTGGTTTCCTACAAATTTCTGTTTCATGACTGAATTCTCTGCTGTCTATTAAGATGCATGTTCAGAGTGAAGTCTTTTCTGTGACTGTGCCTTTGTAAATATTTCCTCTTGTTAGATTCTCTGGTATCTAATAAAGGTTGAGAAAGGACTAATAGGCTGTCCCACTGTGAAAGGACTAATAGGCTGTCCAGCTGTCAGGCATCCACCTGACAAATATCATTCTCCCTCAGAAGAGCTACCAAGGACAGAAACCCTGTACTACGGTGAAGCCTCATTTGTTCAGTTTGTCTTTCAGGTGGCCAGAAGTTCATCTGCGCGATTAAACAGTCAAAAGCTTTAAAACTGGTGCAAGAGAATGTGTAAATTTGCCTTTCAGATGAAAGCAAGTTTTCACTAGTCTTATGAAAGGAAAGTGACATTTTCAAATTTTGTGTGAACCATGTTATATTATCTCTCTTGAGCCCTTCTTTGAATATTTTTTCACAAGCTACTGCCTCAAGAAGGGCACCCTTAAACACAGCTAATGTGTTTGAGTGAGATAAGGCTTGCAAGATTTTCAATCTTTTTAATCCCATTAGGTACTTCCTCTATTTAGGATTTAAAGTTTTCATACCATACCCAATTTAGCCCACAAGGTATGGTTCCCAAAGCATCCCCAACAGAATGATAAAAACCGTTCTTCCTCTTTACACATGGATTACAATTTTTTCAAGGTACATCATTATCCTTCTGAATCCAAGCTAAAACTGTCATATGAAGTAGAGCTGCATTCATCCAGCCAGTTAAGAGAGAGCCCTGTAACAAAGTGTCATTATGGGTCCTGTCTTGCTCTGGTGCTATGTGATAACTGGAGTAAATTAAATCTCCTGTGACCCAGGTGCAGTTGCAGGAAAATTTATTGCCCAGTCACTGCTATAGCATATGGATTTGTCTCTCCCTCAGTATACAGGCATACAGTAAGTATGCAGAGTAAGAGAGTCCCACTGAGGGGAATGAACCTGTTATTTTGCAACAGGCTGTTGTGAAACAGGCTGTTTCAGGAGCACCTGAAGCCTCCAGAAGGAAAAGGGGTTAGCTGGGTACTGTGGAAACTTCTGCAAATGGGTCAAAGAGTAGTGTTGCTAAAAGCCAGAAAGCAGGTGCACACAATGTCCTTTTTGAGTGGACAAACGGTGTCAATAGGCAGTCAAACCAGAGTAACTCTAATGCTCATTAATTCTGTCTCTCATTCCACCATTTCCTGTTCATTAACTCCTTCCTGCATTTCCCCTCTCTGCCGGAGCACATTACTCAGACTCAATCATTTTCTCCAGAAAGGAAGGGTGTTGAAAGAAAAGGCCAGAGCAAGACCTTGCATTCCCCAGCTCTCCCAAACTAGCTTTTCTGCTAGAAAGAAACCAAACAAGCATTTTACATTTCCTTGGAAAGATAAATGTAAGTCAGGTTTAAAGAAAGGTATGTGCCCTCTAGCCAGGATTTACCTTTGTGCTGCTTATTCTGTCAAGAAAACTTGTTTTGTTCTGAAGGGACTGTCTCAGGCACTTATAAATCTCACCCATGCTCTAAATCCTTCAGGAAGAAATAAACACAGGAGTCTGGTTTTGTTTTAACTGGCTTTTGTAAGGAGGGCAGTTTGTTCCTTCTTGCTTTTTTGTCAGTTTCAGTATAGTTTAAGTTGGACTGTTGTGCTTGGCTTATTGTAGTGGCAGCTTGATGGACTGTATGGACACACACCCAGATAGACTGTATTGTTGTTCTCTGAGAACAGCAGCAAATGCTTCCCTTTTGATAGGTATCCACTGACTTTACCATGGTCCATGTTTCTCAGGTAACTGTTGACTTGCCATGATCAATGTTTCTCAGTGCACTGCTGGACCACAGAAGTGTCACCTTTGGTCCCAGGCCCTGTCCAACCTGGGCAAGGGGCCGGAGGACCTTGTCATACACCGCTCTTCAGATCACAGAGTCAAGTATAGCAAGTCTTTGCAGAGATACCAGAGCTTTTTGCAAGGGCAGAAGGGTCTGTGGGTTGGAGAGCTCACATACTTTGGACATGAAGCGATGTGTCTACTGGGGTGATATGGAGCTGCTGGTAGCTTTTTTATCCCTTGTATTGATAAGCACCAGGAGTGTCATCTCCCTTATCTAAATCAGCTAGTACTGGACTTGTTTTCATACAGAGTACCGTTGCAAGGGCTGGGACTGTGGAGCTATGGTCATACCCCCTGTTTGAGTAAGATCTGGTGTGTTCCTGAGAGCTGAAAGTGCAAGGCCAGACTGATGCACCACACAACCCAGAGTTGTTCTGCCCACATTTGCTTAGGCTGACCCACCAGGCTTGGTCCTTTCACACAAAAGTGCTACTCCTGACTTTTGGATGGTTTGATACAGTTCTGCCATCGGGCACTGACTCAAATTAAACTCACCATTAACGGCCACCGTAACATGTGCTCGCGGTTGTAAACACCTTGGTCTTGGTACACTGCCGTTTCATGTCAGCTTTGCATGCCCTCCAAGCCATGCAGAGGTATAGAAGTGATGTAACCAGCAAGGAGGAAAGGAATGCTGTTCACACATTCAAGAAGTTTCTTAGGAGAAGCAGCCTTCCCACATCTTTCTTGGCAGTTTACTTTCAGCTTTACTTCATTCCAGATGGCTGCTGCCTGTCCCATCCTGCACAGCTGAGTAGCCACGGGCTGAGCATTGCAGTGAGGAACACCCCAGTGCTCACAGGATTTTCAGTGTTCACTTTCAATGCACAGGGATGGATGAGGGTGAGGAACAAAACCAAAAAAGCCAATGTGTTATTTAGGACAAACGAACTTGATTATGGATCCTGAAGGTGCTATAAAACTGATGGATTATAGGCTCAGCATTTCTGGGATTTAAGCTGTCTGGCTTCCACTGTGCTTTCATTGTGTCAGCTCCCCCTCTTTCCCTTGGTTTTTGCTGGAAACATTGCACCAGAGCACAAGTGAAGTGAAGCAGGTCCTAACTAGACCCAACAGCTGCCTTTTGTTGCTGCTGTGGAAACAGCTGTAAGGGGGTAATATAATCACTCTTCTGTTGCCAGTCAGCTGCATATCATAAGCACCTTTTTTGGATGCAGGGGACCCAGAGGCAGCTCCTGTGGTGATGTAAATGCTAATTGGGCCCACAGCATGCTATTTGGTGCCCCATTTGACATACTAAGCACTTGTTGTTCTGTCCCAAGAGCATAAAGTTGAATGAACGGATATCTTGTGTCACTTTTATTACAATGAGACTCATGTTTCATTCATGTGCAGGAGAGGTCTTTGCACTGGTTCCTGTAGTGGAAGAAATGGTTTCTTGGATTTTAGATCTGTTTCTCATCTTTTGTGCAATAAAACTTTGCTGTGATGTCAGTCAGCTCAGGCTTGGAATACTCACATTTGGGATGTTGGATTTTTTTTCTGCTCCTTTTCTAAAAATAAACAAGTTTTGAATGGGTGTTGGGGATTGTTTTTACAAAAATCAAACTCATTTGACCTCACACCAATTCTGTATTTGTCTGAGATTACTGATTTAAAAGTAGATTTGATGGAAAATTATCTAACTCATAGAAGAAATCATAGAAAGAAAAATTTAGCAGCTTATCATCACAAGTTGAAGACTATAATGGGCAAGGCACTATTTGAGTGTACTTGCTGTGGAACTAGTGGTTGTTTTTCTTAGAAAACAGAAAAAAACACAGAAAATGTAAATGCTGAAGACAACTGAGCATCAGCATTAAGAAAGTGGTCTGGAGACAGTGTGCCTGAGCTTTAGATACTGATTTTAATCTGTCCTTGGTCACAACAGTTAGCTTACTTGAACTTCAGTTTTCCCCTATGAAGTCAACTCGCTACCCTTTTAAAGTACTTTAAAGCCCCACCTTGAACAGGGTTGTAACTAGTCAGAAACTGGATATACTGATTCTCCAAATATCCTTTGCTGCTCTTTTGAGATAGCATGTTTTCTGGTGAGGTGGAATATTACAGTATTTCACAGGCTAAATATTATGCTTGATTGAGTCAGTCTGTATCAGAGCATTCAACTAAAGCTCACAGAAGGTGAGTGTTTATTGGTTTGGCACAGGAGAGCACATAACATACCAGCTGCAGGTATAGGCACTGTAGGAGATGGATCAAGAAGAGATCCATTATTAATCAGCCATGGGGGGGTGGCATTAAGTATCTGCTCAGAAAAAAAGAAATCAATTAATAAATGTGGAAAAACTAAGTCAGAAACAAAAAAAAGAAAAAACAGTTGCTACCTGTGTAAGTTTCTGTATTGGCAGTCTTGAGTTACACTTCATTTACTCTGTGTTTTTATATCACAGGTTCAGGTTCAGCGGTCGTATTCTTGGCCTTGCTCTCATTCATCAGTACCTTCTTGATGCTTTCTTCACAAGGCCGTTCTACAAAGCACTACTAAGGCTGTAAGTATAAGCATGCAACCATGCAGAAACAGTGATCCCACAGTGAGTCCTACAGAAACACAGACCCTTGGGGAGTTGCTTTGAGCGCCCTGACCTTCAGGTTCTTTCTGATGTTAATTGGTTGGTCTGTGATTGAAGAAAATGAACACATTTTAATTTTTCTTTACTTTCTCCAAGAATTTGCAAGTCATAAATACTACGTTGATAAAAATGAATAATAAGTATGACATTTAGGAACACACATTTGAAAGTACTGACCCATAATTCCCAAGTTTACTGAGGAAAACTTAGAACTTCAACCATGTGGAAGACTGAAAAGCATCTTTGATGGAACGAAACAAAATAACAACAAAAAAAGGAGGGAGGTCATATTAAGAAAAAATACATAATTTGTCATGCCTCACTGGTGGAGTAGGTTTTCATTCTGAAACACAACTGGGGTTAATTAGGAATGCTAGTGTAGTTACAAACAGTGATTGTTTCTTTTTGGTCTTCTACTGTCTTTTGTATTATTAAGCAGAAGCTACCAGTAATCGATTGCTTTCAATTTCTAGTTTATATTTGATTGACAATCTGTCTCTCTTTAATTAATAGACTGAAGTAAGACAAAGTACGTAAAATTTGCAGCAATAATAAAATTACTTAATAATAAGTATTATGTCAATACTGCAGTTGCATGACAAAGAGCAGAATAAAGCTTAGCTGAAATAGTTTATCAATTAAGATGATTCCAAATCTGCAATGATAATTGTCTTAACAGTCCTTTGAGTTCTTTATCATGTTGGGTTTCGTTGTGGTTTTTTTAACAATGAGTATTGCTGGGTTCCAAATGCTCATATCTCAATTGTACCTGATCTAGTCTGGAAATAGCCTGAAACCTAGACTGCTCCCTGCATACTTATTGCCCCCTTAGGGAGTTTGAAAGCAGGCTGGTCATAACATCCACCTGTCCTTTCAGCAAATAAGGACAGCTCCTTATTTGCAGAAATTTAGGCTGCCTGATCTGCCTTGTCAGTCCTGTGAGCTCGCTTTGAGGAGGATCGGTACGTGGAAGCAGCCATGCACAGCATGGTAGGGCTGAAGGTAAGCATGTGCTCTGTAGTGCAGGGCATCCTGAAGAATCACATAAAATCAAGCCCCAGGGGTGTCTTCTGACAGCAAATAGTGCAGGCAGCCAACAGATTTGGCCTTGAGCCTAGCTATGCAAAGCAGATAGTTGCACAACTGCTTCAAGAGGGTCTTGTAACAGGCTTTGATGTTAACAAAACTAAATGAACATCACCTTTATGTTGGATCTTCAACATAAATTTGTTCACATACTTAGTAATAAGTCATCCTGCCAGTAGTCATGGGATCATATCTTTTTTTCTTGTCTTTCAATCAGACCATGTGATTTGAGTGACTTAGAGTACCTGGATGAAGAGTTCCATCAGAGCTTGCAGTGGATGAAGGATAACAACATCACAGATATCCTGGATTTAACCTTCACAGTGAATGAGGAGGTGTTTGGACAGGTGAGCACAGCTATGCAAAACATCTGAAAAGAAAATTTGAAGCTGACAAAGTTGGGCATGATGAACATCTTTCTGTCAGAACAGATCCTTTAGCCTTTCAATAACATTTTCTTCTCCTACCTTCTGTTTCTTTCAAGCCACCTGTTCCAAGGCAGATGTTTATTCTTAGGGTATATAATATAAAATACCAGCCCTCCTACAGGCCTATTAAGCCACACACTGATGAGCACGAGGAATTCTCTGGAGTGCAGCTCTTCTGTCCAGGGTGTAGTTCACACAGATGTGGCATTCGTTGAATGCAAGCAATGTAACTAAAAGCTGATGTGACTGAAAGGATGGGGGTTAGGAGGGAAGAAAAACATCTGACAGGTGGTGTAGGACCTGGCAGCTCTCACCATTATTTTGTCTAATGTCTCGCTGTTAGATTCTGTATCTTTTACTTAATTTGCACCTGCTTAACAACTTGGTATGTACATCCATTTATTATGCTTTCTACAACTCAACTCTACCTTAGTCATTGTAACCTGACTGATCTGGGGAACTACAGCCTTAAATAGAGTGCAGCACTTAAGTCTGGCAACCAGAATAGGTGTCTCCTCTGGGATTCTTTGGCTTGCACTGAGGGCCTGGTGCTCTTTGCTGTTGCAACTCATGCTAGATTATAACTGTCTCTGGAAAACCTTCACGAGACCCAAAGCAACATTCAGAATAAGACTAAGGACCTCCAAGGTGATACTGAAAACTAGGGAGGCTGAAGAGCCACGCTTACCAAGCACTGCAGAAGCTCAAGGAATGGAGTTAACTTGTGTAAGGAACAGACACACAGCATCAAAGGGAGCAGAGAGATTAGGTGGAATATACAGAGAATGGCTTTTACTGCTCCAAAATAAGATTGCCAGGAGGAGTTTGAATGAAGCTAGAGTAGTTCTGTGAGCTAGGGGACAGTTAGGCTAGTTTCTGAGGGGAGGAATTCTGGCCCTGCAAGTTAAAGGGCTGCTCAGCTATAAGCTTGAAAGTAAAAGAAAGCAAGCAAGGCTTCAGGGAGCATATTCGAAACTGAATTTAGTCTGCATATAGTACAAGGTCGCTAAGGATGAGCAGAGTTAAGGGTAGATGAAATGAAAAGGATGGGGCCGAAGAATTGATGTAGGAAGCCTCTGTAGGAACGATAACACTGTTTTTCCCAGACTCAGATGCAGAGTTTTTTCATGGGCTTGGAGCTGAGAGCTTATATGACATTGAACTGACAGTACAGCGGTTTCCCTGGAAGGTATGGCCACATAAGACTAATACAAAAAGACAGAGAGAAACACACAGACCTACTCACAAAGACAGATGAGACAAGTTTATATTTACATTGGAAGACTATAAAGTTGAATAAGAATCTCAACCTGAGTTGCCCTGATGCATCTGAAGGTAACATTTGGCACACTAGTTACTTGTTATACTTTCCCCAAAGGAAAGAGCTAGACAATTAGATAGGAGTCTGTTGGGGAAGATGGCACTCCAAAGAGAATAGAAAAAAATCATAATCTGTTGTAGATGCTGTGGTATGAAAGCAAAAGAACACTAAAAGCCAGATTTTGATTCCAGTTCACATGTTGTCTAGTACTTTATTTCATATGTACTAGACACTAACCTTGCTAGAACTAATGATGAGTTAAAAAATGGTTCTCACTGTGAATTACAACTGTCAGAATCCAAGAGTCCAAAGGGAAAGTGAGAATTTCCCCCTTCTAAAGTTTGCTAAGTGCTAACAGCAAAATAACAAAGAAATCTCAGTCACATTTTATGCTCACAGATGGATCCCAGTTGGAAATTCTTGCATGCCAAGAGTATCTGAGCACTTAAATGCCATCTGAGCATTGCTTTGCTGGATACACGTGCAAGTGTACATCACAGTGGGAGCTCTGCTAATATTTGGGAAGCTGAATTTCCAAGGCTGGGTAAGGGAAACAAGAAATACTGACTCTTTGAGAAGCTGTATGGTAGATGGGTCACAAGCCTTTTGTCTGCTTCCACAATGACTTTACTCTGGACCAGTCACTGCTTCTGTCATTTTTTCTCTTTTGTCTCATCTCTGATGTGTACTGAGCTTTTAAGCCTTCCAGGCCAAATCGTTTTTCTTGGACTTTCTTAATTAGAATGAATTACAGCCTTTTTGCATACTGGAACCCAGAACACTCCTGTAATAGCAAAGATACGATGTCAAATCGAGCACGGCACATTTTTACTGGTGGGGACTGAATGCTAATTTGAGAATTTCACTTATAAGACAGAGAGAGGTGTCAGTTACTTGTGACCCAAAGTAGTTTCTCATGCTTTTACCTAGTAGAAAGTGTTCTTTTAGGCCTGTCTCTGAACTCTGTATGGGGATACAGCCTGACTTGAGCCCTGGCTATTGATCCAGTCAGGTAAAAGGGATGAGCTAGATTGTTTGAAATGTCTCCTTGCTACTCTGAAACCTGATTCTGAATTCTAGCTCACAGCTGTGGTTAATACTTCTATGAACAAGAAAGGAAAAATAGGGACACTGATTGCAGGTCTCCAGTTCTAGGGAACTGCTTGTATTTGAATTCATATGGATAATGAGAAGTTGAAGAAATGACCAGCTTGTCTAGATGTTTGTGGGAGATCTTGCAGGAGACTTAGAACATCTGGACTTACAGCTGTGCTTAAAGCCGGACAACATTTAGTCTTTGGTTTTCCAGATGTCTTATTGCCACACAGCCTTGAAGAATACAACACGGCAGCTGGGCCAGAGTCTTATCCTCTGGATAATGCAGCATTGCTTGTATAATGGTGATGCAGTGATTTACATTTGGGAATTTAACCTGAACCAGCTAAGAATTCCTAACTCATTCCATCCAACCTTACCTGTTCTTGCTGTTTCTCAACAAAGCTGCAGATTAGATGACTCATTCAGTGTTTCCTTAATTCATAATATTATAACAGGTCCCTCAAGTAAAGTGACCTAAATACTGTCTGTGCTATCTTGGGCTAATAAATAGATAATAATATAAATAATACTAATAATGAATATGTATTTGTGCAACTCCATTTACTATCTGTGCTAGACATCATTGTTATAGCAGCAGAAAACTGAAGAGGAGACCAAAACATTCTTCCTTTTAAACCCACTGAATTGAATGTGAAACTAATTGGAAGATAAATATTATTTTCTGTCACATGGGAGAAGGAGTATGTGCTTGCTGAATGGAATCCAGATTGATTCCTTAAATCCCTTCTCAATCTCAAGTCTTAGTAACCCAAGCCAATTAAATTAACCATTAAAATGCAATGAAATACTTTAGCTCTTGATTTTAAAAAAAATTATTTACAGTACAAACACTTCTCAGGTTTGGATGGCTGATACAAAAATCTGAATCTCACAGTGACTATTTGTTTTCTGTGCAAGGCTGCTGTACAGGTCTTGTTTTAGGTAGTGTACTGGGAGTATTCATTTTATGATAATTTCTTTGGCTATTGGAATTTCTGAGTAAACACTTTTACTAGCACTTGGGGAAGGGTAATGCTTGTTGCCTAAGACACAAGTAGATATCTCTTCCAGTTCATGGAGCAGTCTGCCTATTCCAAGACTGTCCATCCTTGCCTGTTGTTTCCTGTACCATTGCTTAGATAGCCTTGAGCTTTAAACACAATATGATCCTGTCATGGTTTGAGATAGCCCCAAAATCCAATCCCCAGCTCTATTCCCCCTCCCACATCTCAACCTAATGTGAGATGGGTTTTTCCAGACAAAACACACCAAACTCAAAGTGGGGGAAAGGGAATATATTACAATGACTGTACAAATAAATACCATATCACATTATACACATGATCACAAACTATCTCTACCATGACATATAGTATTTACAGTGGATCAGATCTCTTCTCCCCTCCAAATAAAAGTCCAGGAGGGAAAGAAGGACAGATCCCTTCCAGTCCTTAAGCAGCAGCATCTTCTGAGGCAGCAGTCTGTCTGTCTTCTCCACATGCAGCAGCTGATAGCTGGCTTTCTGCCAGCACTCACGAGGGAGGTATTCAAGCTCCCTCGGCCCCCTTGACGCAGGCAAAGGGGTCTTCCTTGGGCTTCGTAACCCCAGACAAGGTCGTTTCACCACGTCATATCACGAAGACACAGGGGGGTCTTCATGACGGTCTGGTATCTCTTGCAGGGCCTCTGTGCCCTGTCTCTCAGGCTGCCACCGTGGCAGCAGTGCAAGGGTGGGGAGCCAAGGTCAACTCCCCCCGCATTCCATCTGGCCGTCCCGGTCCAGCTCCAGGACGCTCTGAGCTTCTCAGCTCCTCTCTCTCTCTGGTGCTGCATACTCCAAGGTTCCTCTAAAATAGGAGTCCATCTACTCCTCCTTTCTCGGAGGTCTCAAAGGAGTTTTGGGGGGCTGGTACAGTCTTACCCCCAGAACTCTGTCTCTCAGGCTGCTGACTCTCTTTCTCCCAGCTCTGTCTTCCAGGAGTCTTCTCTGCGGTGCTGCATGTTTCTGTTGCTTCTTGGTCTTATCTCTGGCTCTCTACCACCGTTTCTCTGGTCAGTGCCGGCTGCTGCTCTACGCCCATGGAGAAAACATCTCCCGGCCTAACCACAGGCACCTAGCCCAACTTTATGCTGTTCCAGGTCCCTGCAGCCCCCGCTGGGCGCTGGGGGCCAAAGCCCCCCTGTGGGGCTCAGAGCCCCTTCCTCGTGGCTCACAACATGGCCACCTCTCCTACAACAACCAAAACTACTACTCATCTCTTCCGGTGAGCTTGTGGGATGTTGACATTTTTGCAGGAGCGCCCATTGGGCAGAACTCCAAAACTTCCAGGGGTTTCCACCCCTTGGGGTCTACCACTTTTCTTAACCTCTGGGGAAAACAAGATTCAAACCATGACAGATCCATACATTGCTACACCACTGTTTATCTTTGTTCTGCAGGTGACAGAGAGAGAGTTGAAATCTGGAGGGGCAAATACAGCAGTGACAGAAAAGAACAAAAAAGAGTACATCGAGAGGATGGTTAAGTGGCGAGTGGAACGAGGAGTGGTTCAGCAAACAGAGGCCCTGGTCCGTGGCTTCTATGAAGTAAGTAACAAAACGATGCTGCCACAGTCTTCCATTCCTCATCTGAATGAGATTACACCCATGGTTAAACTGTGCTTCATCGGGACCCTAGGAAAGAGCTGAACAGACACAACAGCAAGGATTCATGGATCTGTAGAAATGGAGACCTTATATATATATGGCTTGTTTAGCATTAAGGAAGAAAGGAAAGAAATGTGTACTCTGATTATAATAAAGCATTATGATCAAGAGCTAAGAAGGACATTGCTTTCCATTCACATAGTAAGAGAAGTAGTCATTTGCAAATTTTGTTCTACCCTCTTGTGTTACAAAGGAAGATTGTGAAAGCTGTATACTTTGATGAGAAGCTGGTGGAACACACTGTATCTTTAGGGATTCATTCCAATAAAATTGGTCCTTGAGTGCAGTCCAAGCTGTTATCTGGCTGGTATTCATGGATGCTGTTTCTTTGTTGTCCCTGGATTTTCCTCATTTATCTTTGATGAAGACCTGGATCTGAGAACATCCTTCTGGCAGAGCTGCTACAAGGACTGGGTGAAAACCTGTGGCTTTGCTGACCAGCCCATGCAGTCACCTATTCTTGCCCCTCATGTATCATATGCCCCTCATGAATCATGTATCTTGCCCTGGCCCTGGCAGCTATCTAAGTAGAAGTTGAGGTCTGTCTCAAAGAGGGAAACAAATGGCAAGCCTGGAAAATGAAACAGCATATAATGGACATGCAGAATAATACTGTTACTAATGGACCTAAGCAGTCATGCACTGACAAATTTACTGGGGGTGGAAGTCAGTGAGGGTGGCTTTGTGGCTGCATAGACTTGGTCAACCATTTTCTGTGGAAAGGGTCTGGCTGAGTGATTCCATGCAGTTTACAACATGTGCGTATAGTTAGCTACCTTTTTCTCCCTGTGAATGTTACAGGCCATTAAAGGTTTTGGTTTCACACAATGAAGGAAGTGAACCTTAGCTGCATCTTCAGTGGATGAAGACCTGAGGGCACTCCCACACAATAGTAATCAAATTCCAGTGTGAAACAAATACAAAATAAATTGTCCATATTACAAATCCAGGCTTTATCAAAATCACTTGTCAGAATGAATGTAACAATGAAGAATGTTCTGCACAGATTATGTCCTGTCACTTTTATTGTTTCATTCTGGCCAAATCTCATGTGTGGTGGTTGTTTGCAGCTCATTGAACAGACGTCCTTCATCAGTAGACTCCCTGAAGAAGAGCACAGATTTATCAGCAGAGGAGTGGAAGTTAGCTGTCAGCTTGCACACTTCGTCACAATAAACAGCTGGCCATCAGAGCCATAGGTTTATGAGACTTTGCATCTGCTTTATTTCCCATCTGAAACTGTGCTTACAAGTGTTTTTTGTTCTAGGTTGTAGACTCCAGGCTCGTCTCTGTTTTTGATGCCAGAGAACTGGAACTGGTTATAGCTGGCACTGCAGAAATAGATCTCAATGACTGGAGGAACAACACAGAATATCGTGGAGGTAAACTGCCTGCTCATGTTTACTAATATCTTGACTGGTTCAGTCTAAAACATGAAAGACTTGGTCCATCTTTTCCTTCTGTCTTTCGTAAGAAAAATGCCCTTATTTTGTTCAGAGAGTTATTGTGAAGAATAACTCATGAAATAAAACAAATAAGATGTCAGGTTTGGATCAACAGGTGTAATAGTACTGAAATTGCTTCTGCTGTTTCTATCCAGATTTTATCCATTCAGTCCCTACAGACTTAGCAGGAGTTTTGACTATTAAAGACTGAAAGGGATTTGCAGTATTAGATCTAAAAGTTACTTAGATGACTGTGAATGAACTCCTGGCTTCACTGAAAGTAGTTTCACAAGTCCTCTTAGCTTCAGCAGGGAGCTGAAATCAAGAGCTGAATTTCATAGTTCCCAGTTACACTTCAACAACATACAGATCTTGCTTGAATGTCCCCTCTTAATGTAAACTATATCACTTCTCTACTGCTTGGCCTGGTTTTGCTTTAAACATTGAGTATGATTTATCCAGCCTGTCTTGGATGATGGATAAGTGTAAAGTCCACCAGTTCTGCACCACAAATGGAAAGTCCCTGAGGTTGACATATCCTCCTCTGAAATACAAGGTTTCAGTCTTTGCTGCTCACTGCCCAGCCTTTGTGGTACCTTGAAATACACAGCTTACCACAAGCACAGCTGATCCCCAAAGTTATTCTCCTACTTTTTTTCTCTTTAGCTATTGAAACAGATTCAGCCTGGGTTTATGCTGGCTTTCATTAGCACAAACCAAGGCACAGAGCCCCTCAGGTGGGAAGTTTGCCAGGGAAGGGCTTGTGGCAGCAAACTCCTCTCCATATGTCGAACACCACTGCAATCCAAAAGAGAATTTATTTGGGAATGAGAAATTGTTAAGTTGTTAAGACTCACACTGTGTGGCATATTGCAATTGGTCTTTAATATCTCATGCATGTAACACCAGTTCTTGCCAAAGGATTTGTGAGAGGCTAGTGTACCTTAAATATATATTTGAGTTTCAGGGTTTGAAATTAATTACTAATATTATAATATCCACAGCCAGGACAAAATGGAACCTGGGACCTGTTGCTCAAGAAGAACAAGATACATTATTAGGTCATGATCTTTTAAGTAGATCTTCTGACCCATGCCAGTAGGAACATATTTCAGTGTTGCACTTCCCACTTTCTCTTGCTCGTTGGTTTAGGTTACCATGATGGACACATAGTAATACGGTGGTTCTGGGCAGCAGTGGAGAGGTTTAACAACGAGCAGAGGCTCCGGCTGTTACAGTTCGTCACAGGAACATCCAGCGTGCCATACGAGGGCTTTGCTGCTCTCCGAGGGAGCAACGGGCTACGGCGCTTCTGTATAGAGAAATGGGGGAAAATAACCTCCCTCCCAAGGTATGTCCCAGCTGGGAGTTTGTACCAGAATTGCTGTGAGAAAGGTAGACCTGGTACTTTGTTGCATCTGTCTGCCAGTGAAAGATAATGAATGCAGTAAGGACACCTAAAAAAAAAACCAACAGAGAAACAATTATCAGTTTGTTCTGTAATTATATTCAGAGAAAAGTGTTTTCTTTTGCTACCTTTTTTGATTTACAGGCTCAATTTAAACTAGTTGGAATCCTTGGAAATGGTTAAGATAAAGATTTCCATAGATCCAAACCTAGTTCTCTTATTTTGATTCTAGAACAAATCCAGACCAGCAGGAACGTGTCAACTGATTCTGATCCCTTTATTTCCCGAGTACTAGTAAAAATACTTGTGAATTTACAAAGACATGAAGCCAAAATCTGTTTCTGAGTTTTGGCTGGAGACCTGAGCATAATCCCTTCATTTGCTCTGATGGTTCCCCTTTTACATAATGAAGAATCTTAGTGACAGGATATCAGACCCTGTGGTGATAATATCCAATTTGTTACATCTAGTTCAGTCAGCCAACTAGGAGCAAATGAGTTATAATGTCATACAGAATCAATAGACTTGGCAGTGCTTCCCAAAGGAGGGGTCATCTTCCTTTTTGGAACAAAGGGACAGGGGCACAGAGGGGTGGTTTGACTTGCTTAAGGCCACCCAAGAGAGCCCTGGCACAGCCAGTGATACATTCAACTCTGAGTTCTGCCTCACCACTTCATGAGTGACCAGCACTCATCCTTTCTCACTGAAGTGAGTCACCTTTTCTTGAATGTCCTTACAGTTGCCTGAGGCTCTGCCCCATTGACATTACACAGCATTTCAGCGCCTCTGAGACACTTTTGCTACGTGGCCCTTTTACATCACGTTTGCCCTCCAAAGGATGCTGTCTCCCTGCTCCTATCATTTGCTTTCAGCTGCAGTCCGAAGGAGGTCACTTCCATGGCACAGAGCAAATATCTCTATGCGCAGACCTTGGAAATGTATTCAGACAATCACTTAACAAAGGGTCTGGTCCAGTTTTCTCATTACTTGCTGTCCATGTTGTTTACCCAGAAACATGCTATAAGACATGAACTTGAGTAAACCTCCAGAGTCCTCCAGAGAGGCAAATTCCAAATCTGATCACCCTCTTAGTCCATGCTCAAGCCCATGTTTATTCAGTGGGGCGATGCAGGAACTGGACCAGGGCACTATATCACCAGGCATTCGGAGCTGACATCTTATGTGGACTCCCTCTAAAGTTAGGGAAAGGAAAGTAAGTGTTTTTAAGGAACAGTTCATCCCACCTGAACACAGATTTTTAAAATTATTAAGCTGAGTCACACCTGGTACATTCTGATTTATGTCCATCTACCACAAAGACTCTATAGAGACAATATGGAGAACTAGAGCCTACATGAAAGTTAGATTTAAAAACAAATGAAAACATGCAAGGTCAGTGAGATGACTCCCAGCTTCAGCCAACAGTGTGGAAAGAAAGCCAAAAAGCAAGTTTGCATAGTCTGGATCCTCATTTGCAGAATATATATAGCCTGGTTCTATCTAAGAGGTTCAGAGCTTAATGAGGGCATTCCTGCCTGTTGACAGTCAGCAACTAGCAGTCACAGACTTGTGCAGCATTTCTGCAGAGCTCTCTTTGCACTCCTTCTGGGGTGGAAAGGGGTGAGAGGGGAGGGTGGACCTTGGCACGTGCACAGAACATGCCCTGGGCTGACCCGTCAAGTTCTGAAAAGGTAATTGGCCTCTTTCTGCTCTGCTTAACTTTCTTTGTGAACCTAGGCATTACTTATGACCTAGATTCAGTTAGCCCCGAGATATCCACATTAACAATTTTATGTTTGTCTGCTGATCACCGAACGTGTTGCTCTCCCTGAAAGAGACCTCTTTTCCAGGTGAAAGTTGGTAGCAACGTTTGGAAGTTTTAGAGCTCTGCATTCATTTCGGCCAGAGGAAAAAGAAACAACACTTGCTCCTGGGGAATAAACACAGCTTGATCACCATGAATTATTGCCTGCATTTTATAAAATTATGGGCTGCTGCCAAGTATACACGGTGTTAAGAAATAACATAAAACACACAGGCTAAGCCTGGAGGTTCCCTAAATCCTTAGTTAAGCAACTAAATGAGTATTACTTAAAACTTTTTTTATATGCCTGTTTATGGTTTGCTCATGTTTATTTAGATTTTTGTACTTACTTAGACTTAGAGGCTAAAAAACATATGTCATATCCTGTAGGCCTTTTGGGCCCTGTGATGTGAGTGTAACTAACTTTAGCTGTTTACAATAAACCACAACAAATTCCCTCATCACTTCAACAATTCCTACAGTTTCGCAGTGAGAGTCACTCCATGTTTTCAAAGTCCTAGGAAAAAAAACACCAGCTTTCTCATGTCTTAGAAATCATCAAATTTAGTTGCTTATGTGCTTATGCATAGTTGTTCTAGTGGCCTTAGTTCTTAGTCTGTGACTCAATAAATGCAATGTGTTGAAAGATATTATGGAAGCGGATGTATTTGGCTTTCTTGACATCCAGGTAGATAGTCACTGGGGATAGGTTAGTCTGGCCTTTCAGTTTTCAATTGCTTTACAAAGCATTGAGAACTTTTAGCTCTACAAGGAGAGTCCAGGCCTCTTTCTGTATTCCCTTGCTTCTGCTCCAGATGGCTGAAGTAGTTAGGTGAACCTCCCTTGCATCCTGTCCTTACACTCTGGCAATGGAGCATGCAACTACCATTTGCTTATAGTGAGCAAAGATGCAATACCTAACATAATACCTAAACCACCTATGCTTTTGCACTTGCAGCAACAACATGGCACTCCCAGAAAAGAGGCATGGTGTAAGTTTCTAAAATGCAACACTTTTCAAAGAATAACCACTAATACATGACACCTAGAGTGCTTCTTGAAAGCACTGAGGGTAAGAAAGACTTTTTCAGGAAGGCTAAGAATCCAGTAACTTCATTCTAAATTGGTGGGTTTGTTCATCAGTACCAGTTCCCCTGTCATGAACAGGGTAATTGTGGTGTAATGTGTTCCTCTAAGAGTAAGATAACACTTGTATCTTATTTCTGTGGTGTGCATGTGTGCCAGACCATTATTCCTATCTATATTTACTTTTGAGACCACACATGTTAGAAAGCTGAGGCCCAGTACAGCTCAGAGACGCTGCTTTAATCCCAAACCTCCAGACAATGACCCTGAAGCAGGTCCCAAGGAGACTGCCAGCAGTCAGTCTGCAGATCTGTCAGTGTAAATCTTCAGCAGGGTTTCTTCCAAACATATGAATATGAAATAACAGGTCATATGAAATAACAGGTTCAATCGTATTCATCACAGTTGAGTTTTACTCTCCCTATCTAATATGCAAACTTTTGCCCCAAAATAAAGGAGTTACATGTTTTACTTCTTGTAACTGTTGCCTGAGTAGAGATGGTTATAGAATTCTTCTGGACTCTTCTGAAGCAGGAAGCCTCTCTTCACCTTTCCTGGGTCATGCAGATATTTTAGACTGAACTAGTAGTTTTAGCAGTAGTTCTGTAAGAACTGTTTTTTTGTTACCCACCAAACATTAATGAACTGGTTTTCTAGCTGGGACATCATAGCTTCATCTGATGTGGGATTGGAACTCCCAGCCCAAAACAAAGCTGTACAAAGAACTGACAGTGCTTTCTACTACAGCTATAGGAGGCAACAGTTCCCTCTTTTAAAATTCTCAGTCACAAAAGTGTTCAGTGCCTACAAATGCCACTGCCCCATCTTCCGGTTGTGCTCCTCACCTGGCAAAAACTCCTGTCAGCTCCAAGGTTATGTCTGTTGGAGTGTCAATTAGGTAAGGACCTCAGAATGTATTGCAGTGATTCAAATAATCACATCTGACACAATGAGGTCACTTTTCCCAACAGTGCTGAGCTGCAACTACCCTTTCATCAGAAGAGATATTCATTCAGCACAGTAATGCATGTTATATATGATACAAATTACCAGTGCTAGTAAATATCTGAACTTTTGTAAGAGAATTCTGTCCCTCTCTGTTAGATGATCAAGTATTTAATCACCAGAGAATCCCATATAGCAGCTAAAACAGATTGTATGGGACTACAAAGAACTTTATTCTCAAAATTTCCTTCTTCCCCAGTGGACTGGGTGCATGGGCTTTGCTGTCTTTTCTTTTTCCTTATCTTTCATCCCTCTTCTGTGTCCTCTTTTCTCACATAAAACAGGAATATTATCTACAAATCTACATTCATCTATTAAGCACTGGTTCCCAGACAGCAAATAAGTCAAAAGGAACAAAAATTGCTACCTGTGGGTTCTGAGATTGATCAAAGAGGGGTTTGTGGGTTCATCTAAAGAAAGCAAGGTGAAAAGGAGAGCTGCCCAGTTTGTGCCTGACAGGCATGTTTATGTTAGAATGCGAGTCTTATTTTAGTTGAAGAGTTCAAGCTATAATTAAGGGGTTCTGTGCCCACTTTTACTGCCTTTAGATTCTCATCTTTATGGGGAATAAAGGAAGTGACAAAGAAAAGAAGAATGCAAAAGTCTTAAAAGCTTATAATTTTTAGAGAGAATTCTTAGAAGAGAAATAGCACAGTACTGTGAACAGTGAGCAAGATTAAAGGTTCAAACCCACCATAACTACTTTAAGCAATAAACACAGTCTGCCAAGAGGAATGAAATTTTAAGTGGTCCATTTACTGCTTTACTTACTGGAGGATGAGGGCATATGAGGGTCAGAGTTGGTTTACATGACTTTATCTTCCATTTTCTGCTAGAGAAGCCAGAATCCTTCCCATAAAAGCTCTTACCAATCTAATTCTTATTCCAGACCTCTCACTCCCTGAACACCCTCTCAAATGTCACCAAGCTTATGTGGTAGAAGGCTTAATCAAGGGAAGAAATATTTTCTTATTGCTGTGACTGTTTCTTGCACTCCTAATGTAATGTTTTCACCCCAGTATATGTAGCAAGTGTCCCCTGAATTATGCTTACTGTAGACACTCTCACTGGGATGAGTAGTAGGAGGCCAACATGGTTCAGGAGTAATTTATCCCTTTAGTGGACAGGGCACAGTTAGGCAACAGTGGAAAATATTATGGAAAATGTTGTTGACTCTTAATTGCCTGTGTACTGCTTTATCACACAGCATATGATGTGACATACTAGAGACTGAGCAATTTAACTTTAGTCCAGTTTGGAAAATAAATGTTTCAGCTTTCAGTTGCAAGAGGCAAAGGCAGTATGCACAGCAATACTGAGGAGAGAGGGAAAGCTGAATGAGAAGGAGTCCCAGTCAACCTTCTCTCTCATTTCAGGTGAAGCAGAGTATATTGTGCAGTTACACAAGTAGATACAACCTTTGCAGCAAAGAAGCAATTAGGGCCATTGCTGAATGTAAAATAGACAGTTTTGCACATAATTATCTTTTTGTAAGATTGGGTGGGCTTCACAGGCATCATTGAAGCTGCAGTAGATCCATATTAGTTTCACAAACCAGAATTTGAACTCAGGCTTTGCCTTTAGCAATATATTGTGGTTTGCACCATATGTAGGTAGAAGTGTAAACCTAACCCGAATCGTACTCCTGAAAATAATTTTTCATTAATTAATTTGATGACATTTTTTAGAATGAAAGGGTTTTTTTCTGTAAAGTTGTTTAAGTGGTGAACGTGAGAGTGTTGCTTGGCAAAATGCTTCAGTGTTTCTAGAAACGTTAACTTTTTTCCCTTTCTTTGTAATAGTTTCTCCCCACAGTAAATTGCTTGAGACCTTCCATAGAAGAGTCCACTTCTGCAAACCTCATATTAAGAAAAAGAATTATCTTTTTTCTGAGTTTGCCTAGGTCAAGGATAACTAGAAGTCAACAGCATTGCAAGGTTGTTTCATAATCAGCATGAAATGAAATGGATAATGATCTGTCAAGATGAATGTCTGCAAGACAGTAAACATCAGAGTCAGTGGCTGTGGATATGTCTGCACCACACGATAGGATGCACAACAGCAACGTCTGAGATGCTGTTGTCTCAAACAGTTAAATGTACCATGGTTAAGTACCATACAGATATCTTCGGATTCTGCAAAGTTACATTAGCAGAATCCACACCTGAGCCACCATGGCTATGCTTCTTCCAGTTCTGGAGCCAGGCAGCTGAGCCCCTCAAGACTGTCTTTGCATGGTGCTGTCTTGCCTGTGATAGACATGTTCTGAATGGACTACAAGAATCCTTCAGTTAATTAACTCCCAGTGGTTGATATGTATTGGCAATGGATTGTAGAAACAATTTATGCTGCCACAAGATTGCTGAGATAAACAATAAACAGTGCAGTGCTCCTCGTGGATAATGCACATGGGCTGCCATGTTTAATTTCAAGAGATGAATTGAGTAATGGCTTTATTAATGTTCCTTTTTCACTAACTCAAGTGTTCCCAGCTCGTTTCCACAAATTTTGTGTTTATTGTACTCTCTCTGAGAGTGACCAGCTAACAAATCTTCATTCAGAAGGGGAAAAAGGATGGTAAAAGCTCTCCTAATTGAAGTTCTGTGATGCAGTGAAGATTACATGCCTCTGGCTATTTCAGTTGCCTGATTGTTTTTAATGATTCACCACTGGTGCTTGATAAAACTCTCCCTTTGAATCTACAAGTCTCAGGCCAGCCCACCTTCTAGTATTATGTTTTTCCCACTTTGTGGGTGGCCTAAGAGATGACTAGCACAGTTTCAAGTAGTTTTCTCCAAGATAGCTCTGCTGCATCAGTTTTGAAGAAATAGCATTGAATCAAAGTATGAGATAAGAAAGCTAGAAGTAAAACAACTTCATGGCTCCTAAAAATACTCAGGGTGAGAAGTTCAGACATCATTAGTCATTGAGGCTACGTTTCCTCCTGCGCAGTTCTGTCAAGTCACATTTGTCAAGCGAGCAAGAGGAAATAGAAATATTGCTAGCATCATGTAAAATTCTAAGCTGCCTGAAAAAACTTGAACTATTTTAATGAAAAGGTGCCTCTTCATCCCCGTTTGTTGAACAAGCTCTACAGTTTTTCTGTCGGTTGAAATGGCTGAATTGTTGGGGCAGACTGTTTCTTTACTCCACATTTGTGTAGCACCTCACACAGTGAAGTGTAATCTGCCTCTGGGTCTGATTGCTGCTGCCAGAAAAGCTGCAACAAGGTGGAGGCTTTCATGGAACCCATTCCACAGCTTCCTTTGAAGGTGCTGCCAATGTAAATGTAATGGAGGGTAAATATAATGGTAAAACCAGGGGGAGAGATGGTCATCAAGTTTGCAGCTTGCTCTGCACAAAGTGTTTTGCTTTTGTCTTGGCTACTGCAAATAAATAACATTGAAAGGCCAGACTTACAGCAGATGGCCAACAGCTGACTTGCAGGAACATTTTCAGCAGCCTTCCTTCTTCAGTTAGCAGATCCCTGAATGGTCTTTTACCAGTCAGCCCTGCCTCACTTGCAAACACATGCTGAGCCCATTCTGTAAGTATAGTCCATCACATTATCCTTATCCACTGATGCAAAACTTACTGGCTGCTTGTGTTGGATGTACAGCTCAATTCCATTTTTTGTAAAAAAATCACAAAGCAACTAAAATTATAGTAGTGAAGTTTTCCCTCTATCAGGGCCTAGACCCCAGCTCCTCAGTGACCTCCAGCATTCTTCTCCATCAAGATCCCTACAAGATCCCTGCAGCATCTAAAGCAGGGATATCAGAGAATGATGTTACATTGATACTTAGCTTGTGTCTTCTTTATGAAATATTCATGTGTATGTGCACATACATTTCAGCATCTCATATTTTGGTGCAATTCAAAGATTTTCCTTTAATAGTTGGGATTTATTTTTCTCTCTCTTAAGTGAAGTTGAATGTTTTGAGTCTCAGTAGGATCAAGTTTTCTCAGTTATTATTTTCTCAAGTTTTTTAGATTAAACTTAACATGTAGCTTATTTTCCTTTTGCAGGGCACATACATGTTTCAACCGTTTGGATCTTCCACCTTACCCCTCATATTCTATGCTGTATGAAAAGCTGCTGACAGCTGTTGAAGAAACTAGCACCTTTGGACTTGAATGAGGGGTTCAGGCACTTTTGGTGTTTTTATGGCTGATGATGTCACGTTTCCTGTCCACCATCATTTGATCTTGGTTTCCCATGTTTTTATTTTTGAAAACAAAACAAAACAACAACAAAAAAATCAAGATTAACAAAAGCTGTGCATGAAGAACTGCTGCCCTCTACGATCTAACCTTCATGCTTTCATCCTCTGTTTCCAATGGACTGCTAGTCTGTATGCAATAGAAAAACAACTGTCTCAAGGTTTCTGTATATCTCTACATACCTCCATTAATAACAATGAAAATACAGATGCAAGTTACACTACACTTGACCAAATGTTAATAAATGTTTACTTCCACCTGCGTTGATTAAAAAATAAAAAAAAACCTCATCAAACATTCCAAGCTTTTATATACCCACATCTTCTAAAATCAATTCACAGCCCATCTTCTTAACTGTTGAATCCAGTACTAGGAGCTGGTCAAATATATCTTCATCCATCCTTATTTTCCCTGTGTGTATTGTCCATCTGAGAGACATCTGTGAGGAAAACTGAAATTTTTATACACGAACTCATGATCAGTTGCATCAGCTGGAACTGGCACAGATACATGGTGCAGATATGACCTTCAAAAATTAAAAAAACCCAACCTGTAATGCAATGCAAAAAGCATAACAGCGATTGTTATGATTGTTGCTTGCCAGTACTGGAGAGAACTTGCACTTCAGATATATTGGGAGGGGCATCTCCATTGTAATGTTTACCACACAAGAAGCACAAGGTTGTGCACATTCAAGAAGGATGTTTTATTATGTAGCATAAAGGACAAGGCTCCCTTACCTTAGTATTGTATATGACAAGGAAAAGGGGAAGTAAGAAGAATGTTCTACTCTTATGAATACTCTTGGGTTCTGTTTACCAGATCTTTGTTTTCTGATGTTGAAAATGCTCCTTTCCAAATGAGAAGTCTAGACAATCCCATCCCCTGTGTCAGAAGCCATTTATTTTCTGTCAGGCTGGGCTAATCTGTGGTTGGTGGGGATTGTTTTCGGTTCTGTCTTTTTTCTTTTCTTGTTCAGTGGAATTCTCCATATCCTCAAGAGTGGTTGGTTGTAGACAAAATGTTTTCATCTAGGGTCTGTCAGATAAGAAGCTGCATTGATTGAGGGTGTTTGTCAGGGATGAAGAGGACTGTAACTCTCTGTGCGTTAAGACTTTGTTGCACTTCCTCTTGGAGGAAGCCCAAAGGCCCTCCAGTCATGCTAGATACCACTAAACTAAAAATCTAGCTCTTGTTACAACAGACATAACCCACTTCAGTTTGGTGTATTTTGCATTCCAGCTCTGAATCCAGGCAACAAAAGCAAAACAGCAGTAAGATTGTCTTCGGATGAATTCTGCTGAGGCTCTTACAGTTCTATTTATTAATCTTTGCTGCCCCTGTTTTCCAAGACTAATCTCAGATTGAAAGTGTTTGTCTTGACTGGGAAAAGGAAATACGAGTATCTTCTGACACTAAATATGTTAAAGGATGCGTGAAATACGAACAGAGAGCCTTGTGAAGGTAAGTGAGAAGGTAACATCATGGTGTCTAGCAGCTCACATGAAATACCACACCCCCTTGGGGGCTTGTTACTGGTAGCTTTGTGTTAACTATGCTTCAGCAAATTGTAAAATGAGGAGATTAGTGTAAGGTCTAACACATCTAAGTTTTCTCTTCAGAGAAAAAGATTGGACGCTGCTTTCTTGCAGAGTTTTATGGTGGCTGTACAGAATCTCATCTCACTTGAAAAACTGCATCTGAGAGTTTTAGATCATTCTCCTGCTTTTATTCTTAGAACAACAGGTATTTGAAAGGTGATGGACCCAAAAACATTTCTAAGCAGAAATAATAGCTTTTGTCAATGATACATTAAAAAGTTAGAATATTTAAATTGCCCCATTCATTCAATTTCTGTGATATTTCTGCCACTTTTATACTAATTTAATGTATGGCTTTTACTGAGAATCTATTTTATAGTATGCTGTTACTGTTCTTATTGAGTAATCATTTTACAGTTGCAGAGGGAGGCTGCATCTACAGGCAAGCTTCACTGTACCACACACCAAAAATGATGTTTAGTATTTCCATAAATGAACTCTCAGGCATCTATTCCACATGACCAGCCCACCTGCTCAGGAGAGATGGAAAACTTAGCGTTTTTCTGAGAGCATCTGTCATATGCACATAAATTCCATCAGAACAAGTGACACCAGGAAAGACTGAACGTGAAATCTTCCAATTTCTGCTTCTTCACCTCTGAGCCCCAAAATCCAGTGATTCCTGTATGGTTCTTAATTTATTCCTGGTGAGGTGTTATAGTTACCTGCACTATGTCAAATGTTGGATGCCTTCCAACATTAGAAGAAAAGAAAGAGAAGCATCCAGGTGGTTGGTCCATGTTTGGCCAGAGAAAATCAAAAGCTGTCTCATTAACATAGTGAAAAAGTAAAATAAAAAAGTAAAAAAAAAAAAAATCCAATCTTTACAATGCTGTATAGTTGAATTTTTTTAAGTATTTTAGAACTATATTTTATTAAGAAAAAGTGAAACTATTTTTTGTAGCATAATAAAAGATGTTTGTATTTCAGAGACAGCATCAAACCCCATTGGTTGAAATATGGAAAGCTTTCTCCTAAAATTTTTCTTCATGACATGTTCTGACACTTGCTAGATTATGTAAAATAGATTATGTTTGGCAGATGCCATCTCGAGCACTTTGTATTCCTGCTCTGAGAAACATGCAGCACAGCCAGCTACTTCCCATCAAAATCCTTGATCCAAGCTGTTTTTCAAGCCCACAGCCTAATATTTTTAAAAGGTTGCTTTCTAAGTTGACGAAGTCATGCAGACTTCCTCGCAAGTTTTTTGGATCTAAAGCCAGGAATAGAGACAATTGGCTGTTTTCGTAAAACAAAGAAAAAGAAAATTACATACTTGGCTGTTCTGGTATTCTACCATTCCAGTCCTATCCCTCTCTCTTCCCAAATGCCCTACCCTAACAGGTTTTCAAACTCTAGGATACCCAGGTCGATGCTTCTCCTTTCATTGTGTCATACCATGGGCAGCATCCAGTCCCAGCCTGGAGTAAGGGGAAGCCATGCATCCAAGTGGCGTCGTGATGTTGGAGTGAGGCAGTGAATGGTGCTAACAGGAGAGAGGGTGGAACCTGTCTCCCTTGGCCTGTTATTTAACCTGCCCATTAAGCAATTTGTTGACTTTGTTGTTGTTATGCATATGCAAGCCATATACCCTTCCTTGTTCATCTTTTGATTCAAATGCTGTTACTCACTCCCCAAGTCTGCGTTTTCATTTGTTAAACACCGACTGTTGATTACAGAAATTCTGGTTTCGTTGTTTCCCCACGGGAAAGACTAGAAGATATTCCATAGGGCAGATTTACAGTAAAATAATCTTTTGAGCTCTTTAAACCTCAGTTCCATTTAAACATGGCGGTGACTAGATATCGTGGTGGCTAGATTAAGGTATGACATCAACATCAATAGATTTTTAAAATGCAAATGAAAAATGAAAGAGGCAATCTGACAGCTTTTGTGAATTCTAGTTTTTGATGGGAGCAATGAATATTGACAACTTGTATGTTTTCAGAGGGTCTATATGTTTCTCAGTGGTTGTCATGATAGTATTAATGGTAGAGGGAGGGAAGGGGATATTTCTTTTTATGAAATCCTGTTGCCCTACATTGATCTGAAGATAAGAGAATGAAAACGGGTATTTTAGATCACCAGTAGGTCTTCCACCTTGAGGTAGTCTCACTGACTGTTCAACCACATCAGCTATGCAGGATTTGATCCAGTAAAAACAAGTGTTATTGTTAACAGCATTACCAAATGCTGTCAGTTGGGTCTGCGATGCATTGCATGAGCTTTCAGTTTCAGTCATGTGGCTGTGCATATTCAAAACTTGACTTTTGTGTTCCAGGGAGACCGAGACCCATGGCTATGACAAGGAAAGAAGTGAGTGGTCCAAACTACATCTAACACCTAATGGAGAAATCATGAGTTTTGTACAAATCTGACACAGGGGACTTTTTTCACCCAGTTTGCTCAAGTGCCAGTGAACTTTTCAATGGACTGTAGCTGAGGTTTAAGTTCATAGTCTAGTCTGAGAAACAGCCTGTGGGGAGGGGGGTGTTTGTTTCGTTTGTGTTTTGTTATTCTAGTTTCACTGTAACAAAGAGTTGACATACCTCTAGTTGGAAACAATAGGATACTAAATTTGAACATGAAAATCAAATCTGAAATAAGCTAAAATATAAGCGCACAGGGGACGAGTTAAACTCGTCCTTCACAATTAATCCTGTGACAGTCTATGGAATTTCAGAAGGACAAATTTGACTGGAGATTTTTTTAATTTCTGTTGAAATAATATTTGCCCTGTCTCTGTAGTAATATTAATAGGGCTTCCCAGTCAAGATTAAACACTTTCAGTCCAGTGCAGACCAACAGATCTTTCTACAACAAATGCGGTGCTTTTTTATTATTCTTGCTGTACCTCAGTGTTCATTATTGAAAGATAAAATTACTGCAATATACTAAATCTGGGATAGGTTTTCCAGTTATCACAAGGTCCAAAAGATTGGATTGCTACTTTCTCTCTAGTGAGTCATGTAGGTCCTTTGTTCTAGTAGAAAAACAGATGCCTGTAGATAGTAGTTACTAGGTATAGTAAATATTGTACCATTAACCAAATTCCCTGCAGCTTCCACTTTATCTAACAGAAATGTCTGTTATGGTTTTTGTTAAAGACTACATAAAGTCAATGGCAGGAAAGGTCCTCATTACTGGACTGATTTTGCTTATATTGACAGAAAAATATCACATGATACTCAGGCTGTGCTTTCTATTCAACCATATCACTATAGAGGAATGTCAATAAAATCACTTTGTTATGGCATTGTGTGGACTGTCTATTACAAATAAATTATTTTGTAGAGGATGTATGTTAGAGTGGGTGGATACTGGCATTGGTCAAGTCCACTCATTTCAGGAACTGCAGTTCCAGGATCATATCCTTTCTGACCGTTGCATTCGGGCCCTTCCACTGCTTTTATTCAATTTCTCAGGGTACACATCTAAAACTTGAGGTTTTCCAGATAAGTGTGCATAAACAGTGCCCCCATACTCTCCTAGACTGCCCTAAGGCCAGCCCTGCTTTGAAAGCCTGTGAGCTTATTCCTCACTGTGGAAAATGTCTGGTCAAACAGAGGGACAAAGGAAATGTATATGCTGCTTACGCATACCTTGCTTCTAGATATAATTACTGCATTATAGGTATGAAATGCAAGTGCAATGATTTCTTAATAGCATATGCTGGGTCTGCATAAGTGTTGACAGCAAATACATAGCAAGATGCTCTGGCATCTCAGTGTGTCACACCCATTTCTCTCCTGCTCGTCACTGTAATATCTCAGGCATGTTTCATTAACACATTCCAGGATAGATTAACACGCCTCAGATACACCGTCAGCAGACACCTTGCTGACCATACCTGTTTTCTTACACAAACAGCACCCCACGAGGGATTATGGTACAATGTGAAGGATGGGAAAGCTTAAACACGAGACACAGTTTTTATGAGGGAAAATATAAATCCGTGGAAGATGCTCCAACAGAAATGGTAAGCATATCTTGCACAGGACAAATCAGTAGCAAATGTGAAACTATGTGACTGTGAGAACTGGTGAGAGACCCTCTGCAGTTAGCACTGCCTTTCATCCTGTGTGGAGGAGCACAGGTCCACAAGCCCCAGGCCGTTGCTGGCTCTCCTGTGGCAGGGGTGATGGTGGTGGTGGCAAGAGCAGCACCTGCACATGCACATGCTCAAAAATCCAGATCTCAGCACAGACTTTGTTCAGAACTTGTTTGTGTGATTGTGCATGTGTGTGAGGAAGAAGTGAGGGAGAGGCCATTTGTGACACTAAGCTAGATTTCTCTGAATTGTTCACATATAAAGGAAGGGAAAATTAATATTTAATAAAAAGCAGTGAGATGAGTTGCTGATCATTAGGGTGCATCAGAGGTGTCGGTTTCTGCAGCGGTGATCTGTGTATGTGGCTGGAATTATGCCCTTTACCAGAACCCATTCTATTCCAATTACTGAATTTCCATTAAAAAAGAGCAGCAGCCCACCTGAATGCTCCATGTGTACATCAGATGTCTCTCTTGGCATGGTAACAAAACTCCATAATCCTATAGAATATTACAAAGCAATAATAATCCCTTCCAGCCCTGTGGTAGCAGTGTCATAGTTTTTACCTACAATGGACAATAAATCCTTTTGCAGCCTGATGTTCATTCTTGTACAAGAGGGCAGACTGGACAATAGCTGTCACATCTGGAGAACAAAGCCACAAAGGATCTGCTGAGTCTCCTCTAATCATAAATCCTCCTTGAGCTGCAAAGCCACACTCTTTTATTATTTTTTAATTTAATTCTGGTAAAGTTGAAAATCAATTTTGACTGAAAATACCTTTCATTAATTTATCAAGATGTAGAGTGTGTGGCTTTGTTTGTTTAGTTCCTACCCTCTTGGAACTAAATTTTGAAGAAAAACCCCCAATACATTATTCTGCCTGAAATACAAGCCCTGGTTCTTATTATGTTAGGCTTTGATGTAAAGCAGGTTTATAGTTTCAACTCTAGTGTAAATGAAGCTCATCCCCACAGTGCCATGTTACAGCTTTTTGAGGTTGAATAGAACAGAAGTCACTGGAAAGCACAAAATGTGCAACTAATGATGTTTTTTTCTTTGCTGGCATGTAGGATTTCATATAATTCATTAACTCCTATGGTACCAGAAGATAGTGGAGCTGCATGGGGGAGTTTTCTGTGTCAATGATAAGCAATAGTTAACACTGAGGTCACCTTCCTTTCCTTCTGTGAAGAGGACACTTTGGGGACCCTTTTTAAATCTTTCAGTATGAAAATAGAGTACTGGTTTGGGTTATTCTTTTTTCCCAGTTACAAAATAAATCAGTAGTAAGAAAAAAGTGCTGTAAATACCCTGGTGTGACCCTGAAAATCTGTTCAGTCAGTTTTGAAATTGACCGCAGAGAGCAATTGAAAAATTGTTGCTGGGTGTGATTTCCTAATGATGCTTTTCCAAAATCAAAACAGCATACAAAAATAAATTACATATGCTCCTATTTTCTGTTTTCAGCACTTAATATGGTTCTCTCTGTAGACAAAGCAGTATAGCTTCCTAACCAGCATGCCACACGGAGTCACCTTGTTTAGGTAACAGATTTTCAGGAATGCAGCTGGGGCAGCACTGGAATCTCCTTAGGAACTGTGTTACAAGCTGTGATTTGACTGCAGTACCTCTTAGGTATGCCAGTACTAAATCTGATCAGTGACTTTTCAAGAATGGCTGAAATCAGTAATAGAGATTACTATAAAAGATTATACTTACAGTGTGTGAGGATATGTTTACTGACAGCCTTGGCATCTTTGGCAATTGAATATAAACTTCCCTGCTTTAAGCATGTAAGTTAACAGCTCTAGTTATCCATGCACTGACTAACAGAACTGGGACCTTACAGTTCAGCCCCTGCTTCTATGGTATGTAAAGCCCACAACATGACTTTTGGACATTATCATTGTGCTTCAACTACATATTTTAGTCCTCCTAATGTACAGACTGAAACAGTTTATCTCTGTGCTCTGGACAAAGCCATAAAATAAGCAGTGATGCATCTTGGATTTTGTAAAATATAGTCTCCCTAATCTGTGAAAGGTGAATCAGTGTTTGGGGCTGCCTGGGCACTGCAGAGAAGCTGAAACTGACCTGAGGAGCACCCACATAAAGCGTGGGGACCTCTAGGATGTGTTTTCCAACTGGTAAATTAATATTATTACATGTAAATTTGATATTCAAATGAGAATTTCTGCAAAATATGAACTCGTGAGAGTATTTGGAAAGACTACTCTTAGGTTTCCTAAGCACAAGTTTATTCATCTGTCTTGGAAATTATGAAATCAAACCCTGTGAGTAAAAAAGAGGAATAAATGTTATTGTGACATGAGTACTAGTTTATATTAAATCTCTCACAAATATAAAAACAATTCAATGAAGCTGGCAGTAATGATGCCTGCTGCTGCCACTTAGTGGAGCTGTGCTTTCCTTCCTTAAATTAGAAAAGAGTAGATTAGTAACACTTTTTTTGTTGCAGCTGGTCAGAAACCTCCATTCGTACAAAAGTGCGGCAAGACTGTTTTTCAGTGGTGCTGGGTACTCAGAATTCTTGTGTAAGTGCTTCTACATGATGACAAGAGGCATTTAAAGAATACAGGAGCAAATCACCTCAGGTGAGGAATGTGTACTCTTCCTGTTGCCTCATAGGTAAAACCACCACATCAAGAAATAAGTAGCTTCAGTGAAAAATAACTAACTTCACAATGGAACTTCAGCAGCCTGCAGAAATTCCAGCCACAGAAGATCTACCATTACGGAAGTTGAAAGGATGAATTTAGCACCTGAAAAACAATCTTATGTGTGCTGAGCTACGGATGGTAAGATTTCATATTTCTGTTATAAATGGACCATGATGATGATCGTGATGATGATGATTACTTTGGGTAACTTCTCCATCATGCACAAGCTGCCTGAATACATACATATTGAGAAGAGAAATGTCTTGTAATGATGAGGCTGGAGTCAGACTGATAAAACTGAACAAAGCTTATGTCCCTATGCAACATTTTTGATCCACCTCTTCAGGGCAATATAGAAATCACTCTTTGACTCCAGTGCATGCAGATATAAACTGAAAAGGACTTGTTTTAAACAGAACACTGTGGTGGTGCCTTCCACCTCACCTCCTGCTGCTTAGCTTGCAGGCCAAACACAGCTCATGAGAATGAATTCCTTGGATGCTACTGCCAGAAAAAAAAAATATATGGAAGTGTGAAACAGTTAATGTTACCTGTACCAGCAGGAATCACTGTTTGCTATGCCATCTGAGCGCAACTGAGCATACAGCAGGCTAATAATATTTCAGTGATAGAAGCCGAATATCCAAACAACAGAGAAAAAGCGTACACATTTTACTAGCAGGTAATGTATGACAGTAACCAGCCTAAATATGTCTGTTAGCTTGTCTCTAAGTAAATCAAGCACTGTTCATATCCACACATATTTCTCCCTGTGTAGATAGCACATTTAAGTTTATGCTGCAGTATTTAAGATCAGTGCTGTTTTAATGCACAGGTGAAACTACAGTGAGTTATAAAGCTTATGTTTATCCTTTCTAGAGGGAAAATTTACATTAATACAGGATGTATCAGCTCCACAATATTCTGGTACAACTAGGAAAAACATAGTCTGCTCTATGGTGCATAGTAAAGTGGGAGAAGATTTGAGACAGCCAGCACAGCTTTGCCAAGGACAAGTCCTTCCTGACCCAACAAATGGCCTTCTGTGCTGGGGTGACTACATCAGTGGACAAGGGAAGGGCTACAGATGTCATTTATCTGGACTTCTGTAAAGGCTTTGACAAGGTCCCCCACAGCATCCTTCCCTCAAGATTCCTAAATTTTTTGCAGGGTCCCTCCCAGAAAAATGTGATTGTGAAAGTAAGTAAAGAAGTAGAAAATATCACAAGAATTAAGTATCTGAAACCTTCATTTAGGATTAACATACTTTTAAGATCTAATATATTTGTCAGGCAACAACCTCTTCTCCATAGTAAATGCCACTGATATGTATTTTCAGATGTAACAATTTCATAACCTCTGTTTAATCCAGATTTTATTGTTCAGTAGTAACAGCCTGGCTCTGCTACAACTTTAGCAACTTTTTGAATGGAAACCACATGATACCGTAAGTCTTGAACTGTCCATTACTCTATATACTGGTTCTGGAATTTATTCCTAAAGTATAGATGATTAGAAGGATGGAGCACCTCTCCTATAAGGAAAGGCTAAGAGAATTAGGATTGTTCAGCCTGGAAAAGAGAAGGCTTCAAGAGGCCACAAGAAAGCTAGAGAGAGACTTTTTACAAGAGCAAGTAGTGACAGGAAAAGAGGGAATGGCTTCAAACTGAGAGTAGGTTTACATCAGATATTAGGGAGAAATTCTTTACTGTGAGGGTGATGAGGCCAGAGAAGTTACTTGTCCAGAGAAGTTACAAGATGCCCCATCCCTGGAAGTGTTCAAGGCCAGGCTGGATGAAGCTCTGAGCAATCTGGTCTAGTGAAAGGTATCCCTGTCCATGGCAGGGGGGTTGGAACTAGATGACCTTTAAGGTCCCTTCCATCCCAAACCATTGTATGATACTATGGTTCTACTTTTTTCTGCAAATCAGATTTGGCAGTAAATTAATGAGGGAATTCCAGCAAAATGTCTTTTCTGCAATTGTTTTTCAATCCCTGATCAATGACCCAGGTTTGGACTGAATCTTTAGCTGTTCCCTCATTAGTCTTTTCTCCTCGGTGCTCTGGATGTTGGCAGGAGATTCTGTGCCCTTAACGGAGACAAATCCCACAGCACTGCCTCGATAAATGATGGCCACACAGAACAGGTCCTTTGAACATGCACATGAAGTGAGCTGGATGGTGAAGAGCTTGAGAAGTGAGCAGAGCACACCCTTTTCTCAAGCCTTTTCCAGTTAGGCTCATGCCAAATCCATGAGGCAATTCCCACCAGCCTGCACAAACAGATGACTGGGAGGCAATTCCTGCACACCTCAAAGGGACACCTGGATCTCAGGCATGCATGGAGGAGAGGTGCTCAGCACACCCCAGCTGTGGGAAAGGCTTAACTGAGGCTCGTGCCTCAGGCACTGCAGGGGCCAAGGCTTCATCAGGTGAGCTCGGGTACATTTGGCCCCTGCAGAGCTGCTGCTGCCAATTGTCTCCTTGCCTTCCACCACCCTTGCTCCTCGGTGCAAGATCCGAGCCCAGATTCCCCACATGGCCATGCCCTTTACCTCCGGTTCCTGCAGTTTCACCTCAGGCTTTACACTCCTGCCTTGCCACTCCCGTGGGGCACACCTGATTGCCCACAGAGTGAGGTCCTGGGCCAGGCAGATCACAGAAATACAGAACTGTTAGTGTTGGAAGGGGCCTCTGGAGATCATCTAGCCCAGCTCCCCTGCCAAGGCAGGGTCACCTGGAGCTTGTGACACAGGAACACTTCCAGGTGAGTTTTGAATGTCTTCAGAGAGGGAGGCTCCACAACCTCCCTGGGCAGCCTGTTCCAGTGCTCTGCCACCCTCGATGGAAAGTTCTTCCTCATGCTTAGGTGAAACTTCTTGTGTTTTAATTTATGGCCACTGGTTCTTGTCCTGTCACTGGGCACCACTGGAAAAAGTCTGGCGTCATCCTCTTGGCACCCACCTTTGAGTTATTTACGTGCATTAATGAGATCCCCTCTCAGGCCTCTCTTCTCTAGACTAAAGAGGCCCAGCTCCTACAGTCTTTCCCCGTAAGAGAGGTGCTCCTGTTGCTCGTCTTTGTGGCCCTCCGCTGGACCCTCTCCAGTAGCTCCTTGTCTTTCTTGTACTGAGGAGCCCAGAACCTGACAGGCACTCCAGATGCGGCCCCACCAGGGCCGAGTGGAGGGGGAGGATCGCCTCCCGCGACCTGCTGCGACACGAAGACATCATAGATACGAAGAGAGGCAGAGGTCCCCTCAGACACTCAACCTCGGCTTTACGGGGGTTTACTTAAACTAAATAAATTTAAATTAAATTACGCGGTGACGTGCAGCCGCCGTCCACAGCGGCCCGCCGCCAGGTGGCGCTGCCCGGCCGTCCCGCCCGCCAAGGTGAGGCGCCGCGGGCGGGGGCTCGCGTCGGCTCCGCCCCGCCCCCCCGCCGGGCGTGCTGTCCGCTGTCCCTGCGCGATGCCCGGGCGTGCAGCGCCCGCAAGGCGAGCCGGGCCGGCGAACGGGACGGAGACCGGGAGGGGAAGGTACGAAGGGAGCAGGAGGAGGAGAATGGAGTCCCCTGCCGTAAGCAGAAGCCCCGGTCGCCATGAGCCCCCGACGAAGAAGCCGCACCAGTCGCTCTCGCGGTGTCCGGGCGCCGTCCGCCGCCCAGCCCGGCTGCCCGGGCGATCCGGGCTGGCGGTGGCGGTGTTCCTTTGGCCGGAGAATCCGCACGCCCATCCTGCACGGAGCCCTTCCAGGAGCGGTACAGCCTCAGCCCCGGCCGGGAGCTCGGCAGGTGAGCGCGGTGCCTCCCCCGCCGCCCCGGCCGAGCCCAGCTCGATGGCAGAGGAAGGAGCGGGGCCGAGGGGCTGAGGGATCCCACCCTTGCGGGGTCTCTGCCCTGCCGGGCAGAGCCGCGTCCAGGGGCACCCAGCGGTGGCTCTGCCTGCGGTGGGTCAGCCCATGGACGTGCCCATAGCACTGGCTTGGCTGGAAGTGTGCGGGGAGACGGCAGTGCCCTCTCTGTCTGTCCCTCCTCCCTCTGGAAAAGTCACCCTCAGCTCCTTAGCCTTGCGAATCTGGCTGGGAAGGTGGTGTGGTGTTCCCTGGAAGCCGGTGTGGAGTAGTGGGTAATGCTGTAGATTTCCATTGGAGAGGGAAACCCGCCCTTTTTTTTTTTTTTCCCCCTTTCTCCTTGGGCTTTGTAATCTGTGACATGCGGAAAAACAACTCCAGACTCGTTTGGGGTAACAAATGCTTGAGAATAACCTAATGGTGGAACTTTTCAAAGAGTTAAAAAGCTGGTGAAAATCTTGGTTTTGGAAATGATTCCACATGCAAGGTTTAATCCATTTATAATTTCAACACCTGTCTGAGAGAAAGGAAGGTTTGAGGCAAAAATTCTCATTGGAAGGTTTTTGCTTCTTGGGAGCTACATATATAGAGTTTCAGCACCACTGAACCACTATTTTTGTTTAAAATTCTGTCACTTCTCATAAAAAGAGTAACACTACCTAGAATTGCATGTACTTCATCTAAAGAGTATTCAGGTAAAAAAGATTAGGTGGAATACCACAGGATATATGACAAGATACCCTCCTCAATGTATGTTCTTTTTCAAGTTATGCTTGCTGTGTTACTCAGTTTATACAGCAGCAAAATCAACCCCTTTGGAGCTAAAGAGGAGTTTCAAAGCAAATGTAGCTGCAGTAAGTATGTCTAACAATTTTTTAGGTTGCCTAGGTGTTAGCTTAATGCTCACTTAGTAACTCTGATGTATTAATAGGATAATACCTGTTTAAGCATAGTGAACTAAAGTGTTCCCATGGGAAGCAGGCTACAAATCAGCCTAAATTCTAAGAAACAACCAAGAAGGCGTAGGAGCAGTATGGAACAGGATGTCCTGGTATCACTTCTGCTTTTTTTTATTTTTTTTAAATTTATTTGAAGTTCAGATGAGTTTTCAGAAAATATTTTGCAGTTCTACCATGGAATTAGAGTTTCTCTTAGACCCGGGTGATAGTCATTGGCTCGGTCAGAACATGAAATAGATGAAGGTTCCTTCTGGCACACAAAAGTACAACTGAGATTATTAGCTTTTAGAATTAAGTACTGCAGCAAGTCTTAGTCTGCAGTTTAAACAAGTAAATCTGAGCATGGCTTTATTTGTGAGGAATATTTTTTGATCAGAACTATATTTAAAGATGACCTTTGCATGAAGGTTGTGATTTTGCACCTGTAGTTATGTTAAAATGAGTTAAGTGACGGTTATAAATGTTTGTCTTGTTTTTGTGCAAGTCGCACATATTTTGGTTCAGACTATCTTCTTCTCTCCTCAGCTTCACAAATGTTTTCACTATCTTGTCTCTTAGAATATATAAATCTATACACTTGAATGTATGTGCTTGTTTTTTTATTCAACAATTTTGAATGCTTTTCTTTACTACTCTTTTATTTTTAAAAAGTGGATACTTTGGCTCAAGTACTCCCATTAAAGACCATTTTTTGCCAACTCTGTGGCAAAACATAGGTGGAAAGTCTCTCTGCCACTTTTAATTGTCATTTTATTGGTAATACATTAGCACAGATTGTGTCACTTCTATATGTTCATAAAGTGTGTAATTCTCTACTTATGGATAAGGTTTATCTTTACAAAGGACTTGGACAAATTAGCACCCAGGCATGAAAGATTTTCATCCTGGATGAAAAGCAGTCCTCCTACACACAACATAATCTATCGTAATTCTAATTTGGCAGCTGAATTTGCTAACAAAAAAGTTTTTTATACTCATTTCCTAGAATTAGGGAAATAATTTAAAAGCCAGACTTTAGGTAGGTTTGAGAGTAATAACATTCATATGAATTGTGTTTCAAACTGACAGTGGGGAGAAAAAACAAAGTAGATTTATCACTTTTGCTGAGATCAGGGCTGTTGTGTGAGCTCAGCAGGTCTGTGTGCTCTTGGGCCTCCAATTCTGTCTGTCAACACATACATATTGAACTTTCCATGGCACTTGGAACCTCTGTTTTCTGTTCCCTTGTAACCTGTATGTGAAGGAGGTGGGAAGAAGGGAGAACATGTTAAAATATTAAGGTGGTGTAGTTCTAGCAAGGCAAACAAAACTTAGGCCCCTAGTGGCATCTTAGGAAGCAAAGGTCCTGGGGGAAGCATTGCTGAAAGTTGTCCATGAGCCTGGAGGAACCTGATCACAATGTCACCAGAGGGACTTGGGTGCAAACCCTTAGGAAGTCAGGCTTCATTAGTTCTGCTCATGGAGAAAAAACTGCTTTGAAAATGTAAAGCTAATGTGCTTCAAAATGCTGCTGCTTCATTCAGTAGCTGAGAAGCTGTTTGCAAGTCTATTGAGATACAGCTGTTAGGAAAGCCAGGTTAATTTGAGAAAAATATCAAAAACTTGGTTATAATGGCCACTCTGGAAAGGAAATTATTTTAAGTTGCTTTGGATGACATGGAAATAGCAGTTATTTAATGAAATTATTTAATATATGAAATTTTGGTCCAGTCTTCACAGCCTTAGTAATTTTACTGTCCTCAAAATCAGAATGTTCTCACACAAATCTTCAGTTGCATGAGGTTTAAAATAAAACTTACCTGTGATGAATGTTTTCAGGGTGCCTCTTCTCATCAACTCACTGAGACTTAAATGTTTTCAGACAGTGCTAGCTTGAGTTAGGTTAGTTTGAAGTAGTATAACCTTTGCAGAGGACAAGACACCAATTGCTTAACTCTTCCTCTTACCATCCATGCTTAAGCTATAATTGTACTGTAAAACAGGGAACAATACATTTTCTACTACGTAGAGCTTCCTTAAAGAGTCTAGTATAATTATATTTAGTTGCTTTGCTCATTTTCCTCAACAAAAAAACTCCTAATTACACACAAAATATTACTAGACTATTAATTCTTCAGCTTGTTGATGGAGTATTGCACTTTTTTTTTCATGTGAAACAAGCTATGCACATATTGGAAGTCATCATTTTCTGTGTACAGAAAATAATACTCCTGATGCTAGAGCTGGCTTGGAGGAAGGCATAAATGACTGATCTCCCTGTCTTCTGGAAGGCAGAACAGTCACCTTAAATGATTGATACAAAATAAACGATCTTCTAGCGAAATAATGTGTGCAGTGCACACATGTAAATAAGTCTAGTGCAATTCAGTTGATTCTCCTCATTCCCAGTTTTTTGTTTAAGCAGACAAGCTCATTCTCCACCCAAACCTAAGAATAAGAAATACTGTAATCATCTGAGAAGACTGAAATATTCTTTGTTCCTGACTAAGTTACCTGGCTGTAGTTTCACATGCAGGTAACACATGTCTTAAATCCTTTTTTTTTCCCCAAAAGAAAAACAATTCTTATTTCTCAGGTAGCTTTCAGTAATGTGCATCTTAGCAGGACATGACACTTGTACAATTTTGTGCATCAGTGAGAATGTATCTGCTGTCACACTTCTGTCCTCAGCTGCTTTCTGCAGAGGCATGGCTGGGGTGGAATAGTTGTGGAACTAAGTGGAAGTGGAAAAGAGGTGAAGAAGTAGTCTTGCAAGTAGTTGGTTTCGCCATTTGAGAATAAATTTATGTGAGTAAACTGTTTGTGAACATCAGGAATGGAATCCCTGCACTTTCCTGTTTGGAAATCCAAAATTGTCAGGGGAAAAAACCCACACTTCAGAAAAAAAATTTGATATGAGTTATGAAATAAATTGCCTATAATATTGTGGCTCTCAGAAAAGTTTTCTGAATTTTATAAAAAGTAAATATCTTCAGAGGAATTGCTGTTATTCCTGCATTTGTTATGGTGACAGTGTTTTATAGCTCACTTAAAAAATAATGGTTAACGTAAGGTTAGTTCTTTGTTGTTCTGAACTTAGGACAACCAAAATTAATTGGTGTGACATAAATGTTCCTGCTTATCTGATTTTATTTGTGATTTGACACTTTTCCTTTAAACTATGTGTGCCTGATGAAACAATGCAAATTCTGTTGGCAATATGAAAAGGTGACATTGAGCTTCTTTGTAATCAGATATGATTTATCTTAAATCATAACTCTTGAATGAGACTCTTGTGAGGACTGAGAACTACTTCTAATTTCCTATTCTTGTCTCCCTACAAAGCATTTTTAATTGTGTTGGGGTGACTGGTAGTCTGTTTTCAACTTGGGAAATGTATGTTAAGTTTTTCATCTCAAAATTGTTTTTCCTTCCATGCAGTGTTCTCTCTGCTAGCTCTTCTTAATACATTGAACTAGCAATGATGGGATCTAACACTCTTTGATGTATTTTTTTTATAAGGAGTTCTGAAAAGCAGGATTTTAAGAAAAGCAAAGATGAAGTGTATGCAATGTGTACTTTGTAAGAAAGCTTGTTTATAGCTGTCTATCTACTATTCTTTCTCAATCAAAAAGAAATTCTTTAAAATTTATCTTTGGCTTAGCCGTACAGTGGATGCTATCTTTGGATCTTAGCTCTGAAATTTTCTCAGACATGAATCTAGATCGCTGCACAGTAAATAGTTCTACTAGTTAGTTATAAACATCAGGTTTGTCAAGTTTGATCTTTTTGGGGATTGTATTCAGAAAAGATGAGTTCTAACAGGTAGTAGTTAAATAGCTCTAATTATAGGCATAACCATAAAGAATCTGGACAGGATTCTTGGTCTCAAACAACTAAGAATTATTATTATTCGTCAGCCAACTGAACTCCCGTGTAACCTGTCCTTTTAATTACGTCACCTATCAGGCTTCTGGCCAGCTCAGCTAAACAGGACACGTGTGGCCACACAAACGATGGTGGCTCTTGCTGTCTATTGCTGCTCCATGAACACTGTTTTATTTCCATAATGACTAATGTGCGATGAATTGGCAACATCGGTACTCATTAGGCTAATTAACTTGCTTCCAGATAGATTTTGTATGTAATTCAGAACAGCACAGTGCTTGAAAGCTGTATTATAGAGATTTTAAACTTTTCTAAGCTGCTTTCTCTAGGTCTTTCCCTGGTGCTAGAATTAAAAACTTTTGACTGTGCTAAGGCAATGTTCAACCAGGAGGAAGCAGTGCATTCAGAGACTATTGGAGGAAATCAGAGAAGGCTGAACCCAGAAAGAGGCCTAGATATTTTGGAATAAAGGCTTAGTATCTATCAGATATTAGAATAACTTGGTGTTCAAGAGCTTATCTGTTAGTTTCTCAATTTATCTGTTGGGTTTTTTTCTTATCAGCGTAGTCACCAGTTGTTTGTTTTTTTCTTGTGATGCTTTTGGTGCTAAGAACTTCAGCAAGTATTTTAACACTTTTGATAAATGCATAGCTTTGTACTGTATGTGAATTTTAGGATACAAAATCCTGTGAAATTATTTTCATGGATTTGCAAAGCTCTATAGTATTGTCTTCATGTATACATTAATAATTAAGAATTTTCTCCCAAAAAATTTTATTCAAGACATTGAATGCATATTCTTACTGTTTGTCTGCCTACACCAGACATCTGGTGGGCTGAGCTGTGATCTAGTCTTAATACACATTGTGCTGTAGATAATGTGTGCTTCCACAAAATATTATTCCTAGATGAATTACTGTGGCTGTATCAGTAGTTACGAGTCCAATTATTTTATTGAGGTTGCCCAGCAAATACCCACTTTGTGGGTGTTTATTCAACTTGATCCATTTAGACTGTGTGATTTTGAAACAAATGCCTATTAAAAGCAAACTGACCACAACTTGGTTTAGCAGTTAGATTTTATGGATAGCAGTCTTCTGCTAGCAGGTCAGGAGATGTGAAAGTGAAAACTCTGACATGAGCTGAATTAGTTAATTCTGTGAACTTCGGCTTGCAGGTGGGAGAGGCAAAACCCACTGTAATTGTATTTCAGAACAGATGAAGACTACTATTTTGGTTTTGGCAACCCTAAAATAAGTTACTTAAGTAAAGAACGAAAATAAAGATCTCCAAGCTATTCCTGCAGCTTTATAAGAAAATGTTTACATGTAAACAAAAAAAGATAGTTTTGATGAAGATTATGTCAGTATGGTAAGAACCAAAGTAAGATTACTATACTTCAAAGTATGAGAATTCATCATTCATTAGATAACAGGTATTAATTAACCTTTTCAGTCTAAAAATCAGCACTGTATGAATGGAACTGAGTGGAGTAGGTGCAGGACTATTGCAGGAAAGTTTAGAGCCGACACTTCAGCCAAAGTGCTGTGGGGGAAGTCTCCTGACGTAAGTGCTGCAGTGTGGTTTTAGCTGCCCTGCTGGCTTGGTGTATCATCAGTTGTGTGTTCTGTGGAAGATGACGCTCATTAATGTGGGCTGAGCACTGTGCTCAGCTCTGTGCAGAGTGCCTTCCTGTTCACCTCAGCATTGCTGCAAAAATTCTATTAGAAAGCTTGACGTTAGTTGAGCTGCTTAATTTTTATTTAAATCATCCATGTTGCTTACTTACACAGTGAGACTAAGGGATTTTGAGAACTGTTAAACAATCAAAAAACTCTGGTTCTTATCATTTGAGACATACCATGGTGAAAATACAAGGTGCCGTCTTAGAAAATGCAGAGTAGAGTCTGGATAGTGCATGGCAAATAGAGCAGGGTTTGGTGAGAGCGCTGGTTGCTCTTCCCTTGAATATGGTGGAATACTTGAGAAAACAATAACTGGGTTATTGTGAGGTAGTCAGAGAAAGCATAAATTGCCTTCAATTTGCCTAAATTTGTACATTTGGGTTTTGCCAACTTTTTTAATTAATATTTTGAGGATAACTTAATCTTGGGAACTAGCACAGCTTTTTTATTCTGTATCTTTGAAATTCAGATTCTTTGAAGCGATAGATTTTTTTAAATTCCTTATTTTTCATGGAGGTTATATTACATTGTGGGCTGTAGTGTTCCTAACTTTTAAGCACAGGGATCATCACTCAGCAAGGCATCTCTCTAAATTTGGAATAAATTTTAAATTTACCCATTAATAGGGATTTGGTTCAAGTTTCCTGAGATGTTAATTTATAAAGGCAGTACTGAAGCTGTCACTAATTATAAATAATCCTTATTTAATTTCAGGGGAAAATTTGCAGTGGTGAAGAAGTGTATCCAGAAAGACACTGAAAAAGAGTTTGCAGCAAAATTCATGAGAAAAAGAAGAAAGGGCCAAGACTGTCGGATGGAAATAATCCATGAAATTGCAGTCCTTGAGCTGGCACAGTGCAACCTTTGGGTCATTAACTTGCATGAAGTTTATGAAACTGCAACAGAGATGATTTTAGTCCTGGAATAGTAAGTATTAGTAATAAGTCCTGAATAACCTTCTGCAGTATATGCTTAAAACTAACAATGTAAAAATACTGTGTATCAATGTGAATAATGTGGAAGTTTTTATTGCTTGCCTGTTACCTTTGCTTAACTTTGAAAAGAATTGCTAAGAAAATCACTATTACAAGAAGTTATGTGCAGTCTCATAATTACTTCAGATTATAATAAATTTCTCCTGTAACAAATGTGGATAGAGCCTTCCCAAATCTTCGTTTGCGAAGCCCAGCCATGATAATAAATTTCTCTAATTATGCAGTATCTTTCAAAGCTGAACTATAATTTATGTAGCTTTAATAATCTTTAATGAAATATGTGTACACTCCCTACTTGTAAAAGAGGAAGAAGAAGAAGCAATGAGGATCTGTTCATGAAATGAAGTTTATTTCATTGACAGTGACAAAAATGGGGTGAAATTTGTGGGGGTTTTTTACCAGTGAGATTAGCTGAATTGATTAGAGCACAGTGCTAAAAACACCAGGGTTGCAGGTTTGATTCCCTTACGGGTCATGCACTTAAGAGTTGGACTTGATGATCCTTGTGGATCAACTCCAACTCAGAATATTCTGTGATAAGAATGTGTGATAAGTTATGGAAAATATATTGAAAGCAACATCATTGTTAGAAAGAAACTATCAAAAACCCCTACAATGAAAAGCTCTCTAAAACATTATCTTCTGGGGGAAGGAAAAAGAGGAGGAGGGTTGAGACCTAGAATAGTTTCTTTCAAAGGACCTCTAACTTGTGACTCTGCACATGTCTGTGTGGTTTTCTCCACTTGAGTTTGTCCAGATGGGTATTGCTGCAGCTGTTGTGACTGTTTATGCCAGTGGCTTAGATACTTGACAGCTAAGTTCCAAGATGCAGCCAAATGCTTGTTGCTAAGTTCCTCTTCAGGCTCTATGGATTTTAAATAATTAGGAGAACAGTGAGGCTCAGTAGTTCAGAAGTGACTTAACCTGTCTGCTAAGATAAATCTAGTTTGTACAGCTCTTTTCTTACTTGATATCAAAAAGAAATTGTGAGAAATCTTTTCTCCCAGTCACATCTTCTTTAGAATGAGATGGTGTCTGCTAAGGCAAAATTCCTTCTAGAATACATTTTTTAAACTTCATTGTACCCTCATGGAATTCACAATATATGAAATATTCAAGTATCTGTTATAAAGTAGAGCTGGGACAGAGCTTCTGGAGTTTTAACTGCTGTTACTGGAGACTCATAAATATCTGCTTTGGACACTAGCAGAAATTTAAACTAGAATACGGTTTAAATTTCTGGATCCCATGGTGATTTAATGTGAGCAGTAGAATCCAAACGAGCAATGATTTTTCTGATAATTTCAATGCAAAACTGCTAGTTTTCTTTTAGATCTCAATTCTCTTATAGTTGCAAAACTGTTTTAATCCAAAGTATTAATTAACTAGGTTGCTCAGTAAATAGCAAAATTATTTTGTTTATGTGCATCAAATAGTCATACCTTGTTTCAGATAAATAGCTATGTGTTAAGAGTTATAAATTACAAAAGCAGTCTTTCCCTGACTTCAGCAAATATGTCTGGATGCTTCTTTAATGTCAACATGTTTCAGAGGCATGTTGCAACAAAGCAGGTATGAATGTTAGTGAATTTCTGACATTCTTTATGCAGAGGATTAAAGAACATACCTAGACTGCAAGCTTCTCTAGGGCATTTCAGTTTCTGTTAAGCTTGATGGTCTATGTGGCAGATCTTTATCTTGTGAAGGAGTAAAACAAATAATCGTTGACCACTAACTTTATCTGCTAAGGTTTTAAAGTTTCTTGTCTTGATGTTGAATCTGCCATAAGGGCTGAGGGGAACACCTTGTGTTTTGCCTTCAGGAAGAGAAGTATTAATGTTACATGGAGGGTTGTCTTTCAAGTGGTATCAATTTTTGACAAAAAACGAACTTAAAATTAGCCACTAACTGTTGAATATTAAGTGTTGACAATGGGAAGCAATGAGGCATTACAACGTTGACTTCAGCTGTGGCGTAGCAAATTGGTGGCTGTCTGCATCCACCCTGACAACACTCCCTGTCCTAAGGAATTTTACTGAAAAGGTAGAGATACAGTCTGGGAAACTTGACACATCAAATATAAAAGGAAAAAAGCAAGTTTGATAATTTTGGGGCTTGATGCATGTATACAACTTACCTGGCTTTTTCCAATTTATTTTGAAAGAAAGAGCAATAGAGCATCTGGTGGGTTTTTTGTAAGTGTTCCATCCCCATATTTTTACACATCTGTTGAAGAGATAGATGATATTAGTGAGTCATTAGTGGGTCAGATGTTACAGAAACCTGTAAGTGCAACTTCAAAAATCTAAGCCATTAAGTACTGTGTTGTGAAGAGCTTCTGAACTGAGACATTACCTGCCAGGGTCTTATGTAAATATAGTAGACTTCCATTATGCCTGCTTTAAAAAAAAAGGAAAAAGTTGTCTCTATCATCTTGAAGGCACAGTCAGTGTTTATCAGATATGCTGGATGGAGTGTCTTTTTCACCTGTAGTTATTTAGACCTGGGTAATGTTACTACTTGTATTGTCTTGGACATTATTTATTGTCCTACTTACTGAAGGTGTGACTGGTTGGAATAGGAGTCTGCTGTAGGAAACTATTGATTTGATATGGGATTCAACAGATAAAACTTGAAGCAAAAACACTGTAGTCAGAAGTAAATGTGGTACTTCAAGGTTTGTATCTTGTATAGAGTAATTAGCAAAGTTGTTCTAGATGGCAGTCTCAAATCAAGACTGGAACTCTTCAAAAAGTTTTAGGGGAAAACTTCTCAAATGGTGTTAGTAACCTTTTGTTTGCATTTCATTGAATTCTTGGGCTGCATGATTAGAAAGGCTGGGGAGGAAAAAAAGCATTTGTCAGGGAACCAAGAACTTAAAAGAACAGTATCTACAACTTAATGCATTTGTATACTTCTCTTCCCTTATGTCCTCTCATCAGATGTGGATTTATGGTTTTCTCAGGCTTTGGGGACACTGGTATGTTGTAGTAGCTTTACAATGGGAAAACTATCAGTAAATGCATTTACTATCTAATGGTGTACCTAGCCAAGGGAAGGGGATATGGCTGTCAGCAGCAGTGAACATGAGCCTTTCCTTATAGTGTTACAGCCACTTTGGTGTGATCTTCTTGTATTATAAGCTCCATGTACAAAAAGTAGATGAGTTTCTATTATCTTGCAGAGATAACCCTTTCAAGACAGACTTTTGACCGAGCTTAATATTCAGGAAGTACCTTGTTTCCCATGCAGACTGTATATGATCTCACTCAGCATTGAAATCAAGTATATTCTAGGAACTTGTCTACATATCTGTACTCCGATGATTTGTACTTCTGAGTCCTTCAGAACACTAGCTTAACGTCTGATCCATTAAAGCGGGGGGAATGTTTAATTTTTTTTCAGATGCACCAAAATAGATTTGTTCAATATTTTTTTAATGATACGTTGAATGACTCTGTAAGTGTATCATAAGTGCACTTGAAGGAAGTTTGGTGATGAATTTCGTACACTGCATTGTTAAGATACATTTCAAGGAAGATAAGTAGTCTCCATTTAATCTAAAGTCAACATAATTGTAACAAAGATTAGTGCTCCAGACTTCCAAATGACTTTTAGCTCGTTTATGCTGATAAGCAGTAATAAAGTGTTAGCATGCTTTTCATTGATGAAGAGCAGTTGGATTTCACTTTGAACTAGAGAAGTTCATAGCACAACAGTACTTTCATAAATAAATTAAAATAGCTAAAGAATTATGGTTACCATACCTTTCAAGTTTGGAAAGACTTCTCAATCTCACTTTTTTTTTTCATACGCTAGGTAGGGGAGCATGTACTAGAGAAATAATGCATTCTAAGTAACACTGCATTTCAAAATGTTGTGCTATTAAATATTTCTTTATCCATTTTGATTTTTTCAGATTAAGATGGCTTGTTTTCCTAAAGAGTTTGCTGTCCTAAGGATAATTCTTTGCTTTTATTCCCTAGCAACATTTTCTGTCTAGGGGGGTGGGGATGCCCAGTTGTTTGCAAAGTTATTTCATAATGACAAATAGAAAAACTACAGTTTAATGGACGATGTGTTCTTAGAGAAAAAATGCATAAATGTTATTAACACCAGAGAACTCCTGGTCTGCATGTCTGCATACAGAAATCATAGCAATGACATGCCCATGATACTTTCCTAGCAGGTATTTTAATCCCTTCTGTTGTTAGATTTTTTTTTTCCCAAAATCTAACTGGTGAGCACAAAATAACCGAGTTGAAAGTATTGTTAAGGAGCTCGGCAAAATTTGACATAGATGTGCGGGGCAGTCTTTTTGGAGTTCACTTTGTGCTTCCAACCACTTGTGACTGGGTTGGCTCACAGCTAGCTGACTGTTTTGTTTAAGGAAATCAATTAACCTCACTCCACAGAAACAATACGCAGAACAGTCTTGCGGTATCAAATTTCTGTGTGTTCTTGTAAATGGTTGCTGGTTACTTGTTAGAGTGTGGTAATTTTTGGATAGAGTGAATTGTCCAGAAGAAGTTGCTCTCTCTGCATCCTGAATAGCAAAGTTGAAATCAAAAAATGAAACATTATATGTGAAGTCACTGTTCAACTATTTTGTAAAGCCAGGTGTCTATGGTAGATGGGAACAGCAACGTCTCATAAGTTATGAAGTGGGTGTGCATGTGTAAGGGCTGTATTTGCATGTCTCACTCTTAAAAATGCTGATGAATCCAGGCATCTTCAGAAGTGCTGGGAGTTACTTAAATACCTTTTCAAAAAAAAAAGTTTTTCTGGATCAAGGGTTTTCTACTCTCTCATGGTAGCACTGTGTCTCAATTTCAGTGATGGGACATTGTTTCAACTTTTATTGCCTTGACTTTTATCACTTATAATTCAGAGTTCTTTAAGTGTAGTATTAATATTCTAGGTAGTTTACATCTTAGCTTGGTGCCTACTTCAGTGTTAATTAAGTTACACTAATAAACAAATGGTAACAGATGACTACCAAGTAGAGATATAGCAAATAGGGCTTTATAAGGCCCCCTGTGCCCTCAACTCCCAACTGGTTTTTCAGCTGGGTTTATTAAATGTAAAGTAGTTGACAACAATAGGTTTTGAGTATAAATCCTATTTCACAGAATTAAATATTATATAAATTAATACAGAAGTATTTTTTCCTTACTCGAAGTGGCAGAGCTATACCAGTAAAATCCCAGGGTTGTTGCTGTAAAACACATTGTGTTACTAATTTTGGTAGTAGATCTTATCACTATATCATTATAGATCACTGCTAAAAAGGAATTAAATCTCTCTTTCAAGTAATATATTATGACATTCTTGAAGTAGAAAGTTTAATTTATGAATTGCAGTAGGTGTTTTTCTGTCCCTGTCTGAAAGATCCAATTGATGTTGCTTTTTCAAAGAATTTGGCTTAGAATATTAGAATACACTAACCTGTAAATACGCTTTGTCCATTTTAAAAATGTCATTAATATCTGAATCCTGTTCAAAGCTGAAATATTACTACTTTCATGGATTAAATAAAAATGGACCGCAGAAAGATGCAATAGTGTCAGGTGTATGCAGTTTTTCAAAAGAAACTAAAGTATTAATGTTCCTTTGAAAAAGAAATTTTATTCTTGAGCTCAATCATCTGTGATACAGAATGAAGAAAATATTTAATAGACCTTTTGAGAAAGAAAATACTAGTTTAATAAATGAAATTGTACTACTGTACCATTTAGTGTATAGAACAGAAGTATAAAACTCTTTAGAAAAGGTTAAGATTTAACTTTCTTTTAATTATTTTTTTTTTAAGAAAATTTGCAAGGGAAAATTTAACAGTAGTGAGAATATCTGGGAAAGCAAAAAACATTTTTAAAGCTGTGAGACTTTTCAGAACTCTAGGACTGTAGCAATGAAGTTAATATAGGCAAAATGAGAATTTGAGTATATTTAAGTGTTCTTTTTCCGAGAGCGCACAGTCTAAATGCAGCATTTTTGTAGAACTCTCATTTGCTGTTATATTCATATTGAATATGCCTCACTGTCTTCTGGATTGCCTGGGTAATACAACTTGTTGGGAAATAGCAAGCAAAGGCAGAGTAGATGGCGATGCCTCAAGAAAGATTAATGCTTGTGCAAAGTCACGTTTGGCATGTCACAGTTTGGTGTAACTGGAGAAGATGATGTCCTCGGGGGTTTCACCATCTTTCACTAAGGAGTGATTATAGGATTTCATGCAGAACGAAGTGTATATGTGTTGATTCCATAGTAGTATTTCAACAATCCACATGCAAAGTGGTCCCATTCTAATGTTCTTACGCCCATTTTGTTTTAAGATGGAGCCTCTGCTCAGTTTATTTTATTTTTGATGCTACAGGGTTGTGTTGTAAAACACTGTCAGTTCTCTTGAGTCATTGCTATACAGAGATGGTACTGTGTGTGGCTTCTGAGTACTTTAAAAACATTCATTCATATGTAGTTATTTTTATATTTTTGTTACTTTGTTATTTATTAAAACATATATAAACAAAAGAGGAAGCAAGCTGAGAGCTAAAATTTTCAGAAGTATTTTTAGATGAAAGATGTTTAGAGATTCAATCCAACCCTGTATACCAGAGGCTTCATAAACAATTCATTTGCAGACTTTACATTTCGACTTTTAAGTACATGCAAAGAGTTTTGAGGAGGATGGGAGGTGGGGCTGCTTTTCTTTATGTTTACAAAGGCTTACCTTAGCCAAATTCCCATGTAGTTTCATAGGAATGGCAAAAGGCACATCTTTTATGAAAACACTGTTCTTAAACAAATGTGGCATTCATCTGGAAGAGTAGTCAGCAGCGTTTCCAAAGCAGTCCCCAAAATTTCTGGAGTATTTGTATTCTCTAACTTAAATGACTAAAATCTTTGCTTCTCTGTATAGCTGCCATATTGCAGAGAACATTTCTGAGGCTGTAAAAGCTTGTCAAATGTCGAATAACTGAAAATATCACTATCGGACGCTACCACCTGCTGCTCTTGCTTGCATGAAACAAAACAGTGCAAGTAGAGCAAAATGGGTGCTATAACTTGGTCTTTGAACTAATAATATTCATATTGTTCCATAGTGCTGCTGGAGGTGAAATCTTTGACCAGTGTGTGGCTGAAAGAGAGGAAGCCTTCAAAGAAAAAGATGTTAAACGACTTATGAGGCAGATATTAGAAGGAGTTTCATTCTTGCACAGAAACAATGTTGTTCATCTTGACTTGAAGGTAAGATGATTGCTGTATTTTTCTCAATTTCTGAGCTGCTGACTTTCATGCTGGTCATATGTCAAAATAATGCTAATATATAATTAACAATTTTTTTCTAATTATAGCTTGAGTGATAAAATTCAGCCTTTGGGATAGAATGATAAAATTTAACCTTGGGCTTTGCAAGCCTTTTGGAAAGTTTCTATAATTATGTGAAATATAAACTTCATTTGATTAAGTGAAGTGCAGTGAATTCAAAAGTGGATTTGCCTTGCACCTTTAATTGCAAATGAGTGCTTTGGGTAAGACCTAACGCGTTTTTAAAGTGCAGTAAAAATGTCTGGGTATTGTATGGCCATTGAAAAATAGGTTTGTTTTTTTGTATTGACTTGAATTTTGATGAAGCAGAAGGGTAGCAGAGACACTGGTAGTATCAAGTATAATGTTTCAGAATGAAATGTTCATATAGCACTGGTAAATTAATGTGTTAAATATGTGTTAAATCCATTTATAGCACTTCCTTCTTCTTTCCTGATAAAGCTATAAAACATAATTTAAATGTTTGCCATTTGCTACCAAACAGTTGGCCAACACCCTATTGGTATATAAATTATCATAATTTACTGGAGTAAATAGTTTTTCATACTGAAAAATAGTTTTGACCCAAATCAAGACAAAAGAATAGTTGCCATCATACAAAATCCAGAATATCACTCATGGTCAAGAAGAGACTTGTAGCAGGGATCCAGGAAACTATCCTCTCCAACTGGTCTAAAGCTGCAGGTAATTTTCTTTAGCTTCCATCCATACACTCATATGGAAGATGCACCTTTATCTCATTATGAGGTTCAACTAGTTTATTACTAAGCAAGGCTGTATAAAAAGCAACTTGCATTAATTTTTTTTAAATTCTTTTTACATGTCCTATTGTCATATTTACTAAGTATGTTGTAGGCTGCTGCATGTTTGTTCTGTTACTGAGAATCCTTACTTGGTTGTATTTTGGCTGTATTACAAAGCTACCAGTAGATTCCAATATCAAGGTGTACATACTTTATAACTTAGCATGTAATCAACCATTCATCAGCTAAAGCAGATGATGAGTCATACTTGCACACAAATATGTCACCTGCCTGGTTTTCCAACCATTTATTCAAAGTATATGTGGAATCCTTTAAAAGTTTGAGTCATACACACAGAATATTAATAATTCTACTACAATAATTAATGGAAAATTTTTAACAAGTGATGTGAGAGTAAGTGTTCAGAAAGACTAAAAATGAGCAGTTAGACTTCCCTAAAGTTCTGGTATGCTTAAGCAAGATACTCAGTGTCTCTGCAAAGGTTGGCCAGTTGAATTTTCTTAAAGCAAAGTGTTTAAAATTAAAACATCTCTTGTGGACAGGATATATTCATACATGTTTGTAGCTAAAGCTGGAGTGTTCCTTAGCACCATCAACTGGTTAACTGTAATCAGAAATGTGTTTTAAGTGACTGCAGTACTTACTGGCAAAAGCAGACTGGGATGTTGATTACAGCATTTGAACGGGTATCTTCTTCAAAGTTCAGTAAATGCTTACTTAAAAACTGTCCAACTGATCAGAAAACTTTTGTTATAAAATGGACCATAGCAGTTCTCACTGAAAGATCCAACATTGCTTTGCTGCCTTAAGAAAGTTCATTAGCAGAGTAAATTGTATAGTGATTGAGGTTAACATGTTTATACATTACTACAGTGTGCAATGTGTTTTTAAAGGTGGATCTTAATAGGATTTCTAATTGCAATGTGATGACTTTCATGATAAATAAAACTATCAGTCTTTTGCAAAATAAGGTTTAGGGAATACTGACACTCTTCAGAGTATTGGCAAATAAAGATGATGGACACTGTAGGATTAAAAACCATGACTTGCAGAGATTGATTGATTGACATGCCTTGCAAGACTTTAAAAAAAGGCCCATTTTACAAGGAACTCAAAAAGTTAAGTTGAGTGCTGGTTTTGGCTGCATATTTGTTAACCCACTGCCCTCAAACCATCATCTGTTGTATGGTACGTCTCATGCTGCTTTATCTCATGGCTTAAAGCACTGTGGAATTTAGTAAATACTAAATTTTTTGTAAATGCTACTTTTGTGATGACATTTGGAAGACATGTATGTGTGCTGCTGTTATGCAAAGTGTTTGCCAATAGCAAAGTTCACAAATTCTTGGTAAAATGTTTTCCTTGTACTATTAGTTTCACCTTTGTGTCTTTAAAGATTTTAATTTCATTTGTCCCTTACAAATACCTTCGGAAAGGTACATCCAATTTTCCGTACATTGCACCTTCAAAAAAGTCAAATTCTACACCCAAAAGAATTTAAACCCAAATGGTTGTCAGTATGTAGTTGCTAGCTTGCTGTTGTAGTTTTATACTATAAATCTAATGAACTTGATCTATGACACTGACAGCTGGCTTGCTTTAGCTTCTGTTTGCCCTCTTTATAAACAGAAGATTTTTCCTATGAGACTGAACACTGCAGAAAGAAATGGGGTATTTTGATGTGGCTTTAGCAAGGTAGCCACCTGATAATTTCTTTCCAAAAGCATGGTTTTACTGAAAGATGGTTGAAATATGTCTTGGTTTTAATAGCAAAAATACAATTATATAGTCCAGTTTTGACTTGGAGAAAGAGCAAATATAATACTACTGAGTGCAAATTAAGTATCACTTGACAGTGTTGTGTTAATGCCATTTAATTTTCAGGGTGTGCATAGATTGTAGTCAGGAGTCTTTCATCTCCTCTTAATGGCGCATAAAAGCTGCAGAGTAAGGGAAGACTCCTTTCTCTGTGTTCTCATTTGCTGTTTGACTTGATCTTGGTGTTTGGTAAAAGCTTAAAGGAGTTGGGAATGGAAGAGAATTTAAGGTGTGGGGGCTGAGGAAGGACTTGCTGCCTCTTGTCCTCAGCAGAGACAGGTTAAGAGCCCTGTGTGCAGGAGAATGAATGCTCCAAGCAGCACTCTCCTATACTGGATAGTACTCTGGCTGTCCAACAGACAGCTTTTTCCTTCCTTCTTCTTGATTGTACTCAGAGATGGCAACTAGCAAAATCATTATTTCAAATTGGTTTGGGTGTCATTTTATACCAATATTAAGAAAGCAAACTAATGCAATTACAAAAGTGGCCTGTTAGAATAACAACAAAGACTATTTTTCTTAACTGAGTTTTCCAGGTGGATTAAGGTGAAATGTTTATTGCACAGAAGTGTAATATTAATAGATGTGTAGTTATTCCTTGACTAAAGGAACACTCAATAAACTAAGACAAGAGTTAAAAAATGGAAATAGTAAATTTTCAGAGAAAAAAACTTTAATTTGGAGTTCATACCTTTACAGCAATTAGAGCCAAACTGTTTGTTAATAGGCAGGTATAGAATATCCATGTTCTACAGAGCCCGTTCTGATTATTTTACGGGACTTGCATTGCTTATTTTGGGAAAGAAACTGTGATGCAAGCCTTGTCCTTTAGTGTGACTGTTGCATTTTTTCCACTGGTACACATTTACCAAAGAAACCCCAAAAACCTAACTCCCAAGCAAACTCTTCTGTTACTTTTCAATTACTTAAAGATATGGGGATCCTTTAAATTTTTTTAAGTCAGACTGATCAGCCTAGTTTAGTGTCTTTACACACAATGAAGTTGGGTATCTTAGCTAGTCTGTTTTTCCTGTTTCTGCTCATTTTTTCTTGGATAATTCATGTCTTTTTTTCTACGGATGTGATTTTTTAGAGTATTATAAAATTAGATATCTTGCAACATTGCTGAAGTTAGGTAGGGTGAGGCATTGATTAGTTTAAAAACCTGACCTTTATTACGTGTCCTTAGTCTTTATGTATCTTCTTGAAACCAGCTAAAGGTACGAGAAATTAGAGGACCTAAGTTAGAACCTTTAAGCCTTACTGCAGTAGATATGGAGATTTTTAAATGTTGACATTTGATGATTTTCATCAGTTATTTCATTAAGTGCCTGAGGGTGAGAGCAAAAGGTCCTTTTTAGAATGTCAACCAAGAGAACCTCCAGCCTGCTTCTCTCTTGCTTTTGTGGGCTGATCAGCATTAGGCAAACCTAGATGTATTCTAGCAGTGTAAACAAGAGAGAAACAGCATTACAGATGTGGGAAAATGATCTTCCTTTTCTGAAAGTTTTAGAGTAATGGTGTCTAGCTGAAGACTATGGTAAGTTCATAGCTATGACCTCTTTAAGGTTTTATGCTGGTGTTTAGACAGTCACTTTACCTGAAACCCATAATGATTCCTTAAAATAAGAAAATGACTGATATCTCATTATGAATTGATTTAGAGTTATGACTCAATTCATACTGTAGACAGGGTTTTTTCTGCATAGGTGTGTTTCACATAAGTTTATTAAAGAAAATAAAAACTACTTCTGGCAACTATTTTATCTACTAAAATATTAGAATACGAGGCTGAAGGGTTTTGCAAAACTTTTCTATTAAAAATTTTGTTTCATGTAAATGTAGAGAACAAATACTTTTCTCATGCTTTTAATTTGCCTCTTCAGAACATAACTACATTTCTCAGTGGGAAGAACATTAAAGAGGGTAATGAGGGAGGTATGATCAGCTTTTTTGGATGTTTGCTTTTCTAATACAAATAGAGAATAATAAATATGAACTAAAGTATTTGGTGATATGCGGCTCCAAAAGTCTTTATATGGCCACTAGATCCCAGTTTGTAAAGAAAAAACAAAGAGCTGTTCTTAATATGTAGGTTTACAAACAGGAAATAAATTGATGACATCACGGAGTTAGTTTGAAATACCACGGTATAACTTTGCAGGAGTGGAAGAACTTGACTTTATTCAGGTCTTGCAGTGAGGAGAACTGGCCCAAGTTTTTTAAAATGTTCTTGCACAGGTTCATTTCTGTGTTCAAAAGCAAGACTGTTCATGTGCCTTCATGACTGACGTACAGTATGGAGGAGAGAACAGCTCTGTGATTAGGGAAGAAATATAAATGTTGGTGTTACTCCAGTTGGATTATCAGTCAGTGGTTGTTCTGCTGTTCTTACTCCCTTTTTAACCACCCTAATGCAAGACAATCCAGGTCCCCAATAAGGGTTTCTTCACTTCAGTGGAACTTGTGCTCACAAGAGGCATGAATGCAGTGTCAATTGTCACTGTTACTATTTGGAGAAGTTAATGATAAAACCCAGTGTGATCACTGGCCTGGGGGCAGGGAAGATCACGGTTGTTTTTTATGGGTTTTTTTCTGGCAAGGATATGCTTCAGTTGCAAAAATCTAAGACCTGTTGTCTAAAGTTAGTTTTCAGATTATTTTTTTAATTGAGCTAGCATTTAAAATAGTAAAGAACTTCTTAATGACCACAAAGGTGCTTTGAAGGAAGAGAGCCAAGGTCTAGTGACGTCAGCACAAACAAGTTTATCCAAAGGTGATGCTCTTAAAAACCTGTTTTTCAGGCTGCTATATTTTTTTAAACTGTTCTTCAGTTAGTGTTCTGTAATACAGTTGTTTTGTACTTTGAACAGGATTGAGGCTGGTTGCAACAGACCTTCTTTAAAAAGGTGCAGTCAAAATAGTTTTGTATGTTCAGGGTTTTTAAAATGATTGGGTGTTTTTGGACACCCTTCAATGAGATGTATTTTACACTATTTATTGGAAGAAAATGAGGAGGGAAGGAAGGGTAGTTAAAAAGGTGATATGAAGGACTAAAGGTACAAATGTGGAGGTACTTATTGTTAAAAGACAGCTATTGGCATGTATTTTGTACGTGTTCTAAGCTAAAAAAGATTTGATCCTCGGTTCTAAACAGAAAATCCTGCCACTCCTTTTAGCCTACGTGTCTCTTCAAGATCACCTTGGGGAAAATACATAAATGATCCTGGGTATCGTGCTTGTTATGGAAGACATTATCCTACTCAAGATCTAAAATAATTATGCAATATGATGTCATAGGCATTAGATTTGGGTGATCCTAAAAGTCTTCTTTTGTTTTTCAGCCTCAAAATATTCTACTAACCAGTAAGTCCCCTCTGGGAGATATTAAGATAGTAGATTTTGGCCTTTCCAGAATAATGAAAAGCAGTGAGGAACTAAGAGAAATTATGGGAACTCCAGAATACGTAGGTAAGTTGTTACTGTAGGAGTGATGTATAGTCCAGGCTTCTGGGGAGTAAAAAGAGAAACTACCTCAATTTGAAAATGCCAGACTGACTGTGTAGTTACAGTGTCGCAAGATCAAGTTATCCCTTGGACGTGGTACTGCTCTAAAAGGTAGAACTGGCAAGTCTTGCCTGGCTAATGAACAATGATTGTCTGCTTGTGTTGAAGATGAGTACATGCTTTAGATGATTCTTACTAGCAATGATAACAAGTATTACTTGGATTAAGTTTAAATTCACGTATTCAGTCTCTGAATACAATATTTTAGCCTGTGGAGCTTTGTATCCATTTTATTTTTTTTTTAAAAAGCCCAAACCATTCCAGGCCTTGAAAGTATACTTGAAAATGTCTTTAAGTTGTGTGGTGTATCTTCATGGTTATGGGTTAGGTTACAGTGCTGGAATATGGAATATTGGATATTTCTGTTTTTTCTTTAGGAAATGTGTATACAGATTCCTTATTTGGGAAGGAGACTGGCCTGGCTTCTGAAGATGGCAATAAAAGGAAAACGTTTTTTATACTTAAAAAGAGTGGATGATAGAAATCACTTAACTTGAACAGAAATATCTTAGTTTCAAAAGACTGTCATGCTTCAAATGGCTTACCTTAAATTTTACCACATGCCCATTATTGCATTATAGAACTATAATGTAATGTCTGCATATGACAAAGCCCACTTTTTTTCCCCCCTCAATAGCTCCTGAAATTCTGAGTTATGACCCAATCAGTACAGCAACTGACATGTGGTAAGTTGAACAAATTAATGGTCATCATAACTTCACTGAAAAGGGTTTTTGTTTGGTTTTTTTAAGAAAACAAGGCGAACTAAAACAAAATGCTTTTCTGTTTTTTCACTTTAAATTCAGGAGCATTGGAGTACTGGCGTATGTTATGCTAACAGGGATATCGCCTTTCTTGGGGGATGATAAACAAGAAACATTCTTAAATATATCTCAAATGAACATAAGTTACTCTGGAGAGGACTTTGACCTTGTATCAGAGTCTGCTGTGGATTTCATCAAAACTCTGCTGGTTAAGAAACCCGAGTAAGTAAAATACACAATTGTATATGCTAATATGTCATACTGAACTAATTTCAAATGTAGCAAGTGCTAGTGTTTTCATTTTTAAACTGTAATGAAACTTTGATTTCACTGTGCTATTACTTTTTATGTATGTGAAAAGATAATTCCTCCATTTCCATCCAAGCTTGTATATTATGAATGCGTACAAGTGTTAGTAATTAAAACTCAAATTAGTTTCAGAAAACTGTGTGAATTGTAGTGTGTGGTACAGTATACTGATTTTTCTTACAGTTACTTTGCTGAAGTCTTTTAAATGAACTGTGTTTTGAGTCCTTAATTTTGCTTGATAGATTACCTTGCTCTTTTCTGGTTCATTTGTACGTTTTTGTCAGTGGGCAGCAAATTGGAAGTTCCAGGTCTCTAAATAGAAGAGGTGTTTTCTGTGAAACTTCGCCACTTCTTCATGGGACATGTCAGCTACTGAAATTGCCTACTGCTTGTCTATGGGAATACTTTAAGAGTGTGAGGGTTGGATAAAAAGAAAATCTGTATGAATTTTGAAAGTTGGTTGGCAACATGGGAGCATAAACTCGTATTTAGGGTTCCATGAACTCCTTTATTTTAAATGCTAGCAGTTCATCATCTTGGGCTGCTGTTGGTCTCTTTTGGTAATGTGCTTTCCCCCCCCCCTATTCTATCAATCTGTCTTTAATACAGTCATATCCTTGGAAAAATCTGTAGGGATCTTTTCTGCAAGGCACTGGATTTTGCATTCATTTGGACGTTTATTTTAATGCTTTCTTTCCTCTACAGGGATCGAGCAACTGCAGAGGAATGTCTTCAACATCCATGGTTAGCACAGAGTGATAATCCTGCTTGCAGGGCCTGGAATAAGAGTGCAGGTGGGGAGACCAGTGATGCCATCCAGAAGGATGCAGATTCTGCCACTGAAAAATCAGTAGATGCTGAGAAAACTGAAGAGGAAGAATCAATAGTGACAGAAGAACTAATTGTAGTGGCTTCATATACACTGGGACAATGTAGGCAGTCAGAAAAAGAAAAAGTAACTGAGCAGAAAGCCATTTCCAAACGATTTAAATTTGAGGAACCATTACTGCAGGAAATACCAGGAGAATTCATTTACTGAACTGTGTGGAGCTTCATAGCTGTATCTAGGAGGCAATGTTTTCTACTAAACAAAAATATCCTAGCCAAGTGAATTTCTGATATGCAATAAATGTTCTAGATAAAAGAAAGTGTTGATAAATGGCATACAAGGAAAATGTGCCAAGTTCTTATTTTCATGGAACAGATAAACAAGATTTCAAGTGGCTAGAAGGAGTTTAACAAAGATTATAAGCTTATTTTTGTTTGTAATTTTTATTTTGGGGAGGTGGTTTTTGTTGTTGTTGCTTGATAGCAGCGTTTTTGTTAATTGTTCCAGTGTTCTGGAGACGTTGACATTGGAAGTGTTTCAGTGACAGATGTCAAGAGGAGTATTTTAGGACATGTTTTGGCATTTAATGCAAATATATAATGCTGGGTTTTCCTCAGATGCCTTTTGTCACTCCTGACTTTAGTGGAACTATCTGCTAATCTAAAACTTGTATGAGAGGAGAATTTGATTGACTGGTTCGACATACACACAGTATGATTTTGAAATCCCTATGTTTCTTTGTTTCCATCAGGAAGATATAAACAAAGACCCAGACTCATATGATGTATGCCCAAACACTGGGCTGCTCTTCTCTAGGAAGAGATGCACGTGTCCCACAGGTGAAGAAATCTATACTGGAGATACATCTTTATTTGGGAGCACAGTAAAATCCTGCTCCTGAAGGTGATGTGTTTGCTTAAGTCAGTCACTCATGAGGCAGCTGAGATCGCTCCCTTCCCCTCCTGTGCTGGGTGAGATGTGCCAGTAGAACCCAGCTCAGTGTGACTGCACAGTGTTGAGAGGGGAAAAGAATTACAGAGTCTGATGTAGGTCCTCTGAAGTTGTTGAAGTTCTCTCCACTGACTTCACCATGTTAGATTAGACAGTATGGCCAACTAATTAGCTCTTGATTCCACCTCCCCCAGTACTTGGCTCTGGTTTTACTGGGAGCATGAGGTCATTTCTGCCCTCTTTCTTTTCCTCTAACTGCTGCTTTAAGGAAGAAAGAAGTATTCTTAAGCTAAATTGCATTACCTTGTTCAATATAGCTTTCACATGAGGAAGAACATACCAATTCCTCTGGAACAACAAAGCACAGCTTATGCCTCCTGCTTCCTGATCACTCCCCTTTAGACACTTGGAAAAACAGCATGTTGTATGGTGGGGCAGAGAGTGGGATTAGGGAGCAGTATGGATGGGTCATAGTTCTCAATGGACGCAGTCCCTCAGAGGACAAAGCTGGGACCAACTGGGCATCAAGACTGAGTGGTTTTTGCAATGTACAGATCTGAGGATCTTGGACTGAGTCCTAGTTTTCTAAGAAATCTTTCATATTGATGCTGTTCCAAAGCTTAATTTTTATGTAATTTGAAGTTTAGTACTATTATATTGCATACGTTTAACTATTCAACTATTTATTTGGTTTCCTTATGCTGTTCCTTTATAATAAACTGACAAAAGTTTTCTTGCTATAAAAAAATGAATAGAAACTCGTAAGCTAGTTTTTCCCCTTTTTCCATATTGCTACAGACTTTCCTAATTTCAAATGTATCAGATGTTCTTACTTTGTTTAGTGAGCAGGAGTTCAGTGCTCTGTGCTAAGGTTATAGTTCCTCCTTCACACAAAAGTTAAATGGCTTCTTAACAAGACAAGCAGTACTGGGATGATCTGATCAGCAGGGCTGGAATGGTGAGGGAAAAAGCTCTAGTACAGAAGAAAGCTGAACCAAAAACAGTGTGACACTGAGTGGGTAGTTTTCCATAAGGCTGTACTGCCAGAGGTCAGACTGCCTTCATTTCAAGCCACATCAGAAAAATTGAACTGTTCTATCAGTCTTCTTCCCCTAAGGAATTACATATTGAGTATTCATGTAAGTAGGGCAGCTTCTCACTCCTTGAAGACCTTCATATAAGAAAACACCCAGTAGTACTGAGAATTGAGTTTGGATTTGTTTTATATTGTAATGCAGAGATGCCTTTCGTGCTCTGGAGAAATCAGTCAGTTGTCAGCCAGAGCTAGACATGAATCTTAGAGCCAACAGAGTATCTGTGTTGTCTGGGTGTTTCTGGAGGCAGATGGTAGCTGACCCTACCTACAAGGCTGATCGGTTTCAGGGTTGTTAGACAGGACCGTACCTTTCATGAGCATCTTTCTTTTACCGTCCAGTCATTTGCCCAAGACAATTTGCTTGGGTGAGGGGACATTGACTCATGAAATTCTTCTGTACAAGATTACAGTTTCTCCCAGCTTCCATCACTGCCATTTTGACTTTTTTTTGGTACATCCATACTTCCTTACTTTACAAAGTTGAGCAAAGCAGTGAGTTGAAGCATGCTCACAGCCCACCCTTACAAAACAATGTTGCCACGTCTGCATACATAAATGTTTAATAGCTCATGGTTGCTCGCAGCAAATCATTAGAGGAAGTGTACCTGTTTCAATTCTTCTTTGTAACCACAGATCATGTCTCAGATGGAGACTGGTACTAATGGGAAAGAGTAGGTGCTGAGCAGTATACAGTTTGTCCTAGATATACTGTTTTTAATGTATGACAATGAAGCTTAACATGTATACATGAACTATGTACTTACTACAAGGCCAGCTTCTCTTGAATTGGCTGCTTTGAGATTTCCAGTGGGCTGCATTTCTGTTTAACTTTTTGTGCCTTAAGGTGGTTTTATACGGTGTTTTTTAATGTCATTAAGAATTTGTATAAAGTTGTGAAAGTTTAATAGTATAATTTATAAACAAGGCATCTTAGATTCACCCTATAACAGGGAAAATTTTCCATAACATTTAACTGCAGGACTATCAGCCATCCCACACACTTGAAGCTGTTTCTGTTCTACTGTGAGTGTGGGTAAAGCTGAAAATGAGGTGTTCTTACCCTACACTGTAGAAAGGGACTATTGCGGTCCATGTTCTTGAGAGGCTCAGTTACTAGTGAAGGAACACATCAGGAGGACTGGGAACAAATCGTTATTTTATGTGGAAGAACTGGTTTTCCACAGTTCTGTGAATACAGAGGACTGTGTGTACATATGCGAGTCATCTGAAAAAAGCTGCTTGTGTTGGTGGGGAAGGGGCTGATGTGGAGAAAGAATCAACTCCTTGGACCTTGTGGGCAATGCTCTCCCAGTCCCTGCTCTCCAGACTGGGCACCTGCTGGCTGCCTTTGTAGCACTGGGAGCATGGCTGTTTGCTCAGATGCAGGATACTGAAGGAATGGAAGGGCAGTGTTCCTAAAGGGTTGTTATGTCTATGGTTCTGTTGCAAGACCCATGAACTCTATCAATAAGAGGGGTAGGTCCAGGCTTAGACCTCCCTTGCAGTTGTTGGAATAAATAGCAAACACCTACCTGAAAGCACAGCCTTGTCTTCTCTTGTTGCTATGTTCCCCTCTTTAAGTAAGAGGCTATAGATTTTATAGTCACTAAACTAAAAGTTCTGCAAAATAATATTTTTCATTTTGTCCAAAGCTGAATTTGTATTGTGATTTGTCTCATTTGTCACATTTTTCATTTGTGGGTCCCTGAATAAAAGCTTGTCCCAGCTTATGATCTACCAAGTGAATCCTGAGAGCTGTTAAGTCACATATGCAAATAAAAATTAATTGCCCATTCTCCACTGATGGTGCTCGCAGGGAATGGGGAGGGAGGTGGGCCTTGCACCAAGTTACTCCATGGCTTAAGGTCTCTCTTGAATATTTCAGGTGTTGTCCCTGGAAGAGAGTTCAATATTTTAAAGAAATATTACCAGTTCATTGTACTTCTGATAAGGTGTTTACTATTTCAGGAACTTTACAATAAATGAAATTTTGTTTTCTGAACAGCTAATGGGTCTCTTGTTCTTTGTGCTTCAGGAAACACTTAAAAACATGATCTTTCCTCGAAAAAGCATTGCTGATTAGAAACTGAATTCCAAAAAGTTACACTGGTTTATCTGGTGCAGGATAGCTGCATGATGACTGAAATTAATAGTAAAGCTGAAGCACAGTGCTGCATTGCAAATTACTGCAACTTAAACTGTTCTGTGGTTGGTGACTGCACACCTTTATGCCTGGCTTTGACTACTAGCTAGAAATATTCTGATGGATCTAGGTTGTAGTATGTTACATGGAGTCTCTTGCTTTTCTCAAAGGACTATTGTGAAGTTATTTTTCTCAACACTCATTAGAAGGATTATTTTAGTTTTCTGAATTCTATATTTGTTCAATTTTTGCAGAAAATATAAAATGCACCAATCATCTTTTCCACTCAAAAGCAATGTGCTTCCACTGTAGAGGTCTTCACAACACAGCATTTACCGATGTTGAATTAAGCTGTCATTGGGATTGATGAATATAGTCACATTATCCATGTAAATCTTCCTGGGTTTTTCTTGGTGTATACTAAACCTAGAAGTACATTTCCATTAGATTTAGGACTGTTATTTTAGATGTTGAACAACTGGGAAATTACCTGCCTGAGGACGTGCAGTTGGAAAGATGGTATTTAAATGCCAAGAACTGTGTGCAATGTAGGACAGCTGTGTATCCAGGACAGGGTGGAGCAGATACAAATCAGCATTAATCCAGGTTTAACAAATTATGCTGTAGTGTCTGCTCCTAAGCAGTGAAAGTTTGATATCCCCTCCAAAATGTGCTGTGTCCAGAACTGTGTTATTTGTCTGATGTGACTTCCTGTGGGGAAAGTTAGAGCATCAGCTAGATGCTAGCTGATGATCCTAGGGTGAGAAAACCATTTCTTCTTCTATGGAAAGGCATTTCCTCTTCTAACACTGCCTAATTTCATTAATTGTTCCTGTTATAAGACAGCTAACAACTGTAGAGCTTTGTTGGAGTAAAATATTTTGGTTCCATAAAAATACAACCTTGAAGAAAACAGAAAAGACAGAAAAAAATTTTCTGTTATAAAACAGAAAAAAATTAAGTCCATATGGGTGTAAAAATCTCTCTTAATTAAGGAAAGGTTAGGATTTGTCAAAATGAAGCAGAGCATTAGGACCACAACAGTTACTGCAAAATTAGGAGAGGAAAGGGAACTACCTGAAGGGATTATCTTTTTTCCTGTAAACACGGAGAACTTAATTGAGTCTTTGCTTGCTTGTGCAATTAGAATCACAACGAAGCTGGTGATGCATTGAAATCAGTGTACCCCATCTCTTCAATGAATTTGTAATGCCAGCATACAGACTGAATTACACAGGTGCCTGTTCACTAATCCTCACAGGGAAATGTCCTGAGCTGCTGGGGTATCACCTTACTATCTGCCACCTTCCAGTAGCACTCTGTGAGATCTGGCTGGTCTGGTCACTGGGTGGAAGTCCTTGTTGTGGGCCTTACCAAGCAAAGAGAGGTAAAGACTGTCTCTCAGAAGTTATTGAATAAAGGTGCTTGCTCCTAAATCCTCTAGGAAAGCAAATTAACAGAAACAGCACTAGATTGGTTAAGAAATTACATTATTCTATTAATTTTATACAATTGGTGCTAATTAAGATGAACCAAAGGCATTTGGCCAAGTGTGATGTGTCTTCCAAAATAACACCAAAAATGTGCAGGTCTCCATTGCTCCTTGTGTTACAGGACTGTCTGGGCCCTGCTGCAGGGAACTTGCAAATTTTGCAAAAAACCATGCAGGAAAATGATTTTTCTTTGACAAGCAGGAAAGATGAAGGAAACAACTGGATGTATTCTCATTTCTAAATGCGAGATGAATTCAAGTTACTTGTGTTCCCAGTGCAATGCAAGACATCTGCCCAAGGTACGAAGTTAACTGACTTGGACAAAACTCTATTACTCCTTGGAGAAACATATTCAAAAGGGAACATGTCAACCCGCTTAGGCTTTCTGAAGGTAGTGCTTTTAAAACACCTGGCTTTACACTGCCCCTGTGTGCTAGTCAGGTCCAACTCAAGTAGGTTCAAGTCTGCTGAGCAATATTTGTTGTTCCTCAGCTGTAAGTTAAGTCCTTGCCCTGAACAGTCTGCCACCTTGATAGTTTCCTTGAGGGTGATGGCTGCCTGGCAGAAGCAATTAAAATCAAACTAGAGAATAAGAAACAAACACGCAATCCAGCGAAGGTCATGACAATGATGGTTGTTTTAACCACACCAGCAACTGGAAAAGGAACTGTGCAAATTTTCAAGACAATTAAAAAGAAATTATTTAACATACTGAACATGATTAAAATGGTTAAAGGATTGCAGCACCTGTTAACAAAGCTGAGAGACTTGGAATTGGAGAAGAGAAGGCTCAGCAAGGAATCTTATCAGTGTGAGGGAAGACTAAAGAGAATGGAGCTAGATTCTCTTTAGTGGTGTCCAGTGGCAGGACAAGAGGCTGTGGGCACACACTGAAACACACGAAATACTGTTTAATCATAAGAGAAAGCTTTTTTTACTGTGAGAATGGTTGAACACTGGTACAGCTTGTCCAGAGGTCACAGAGTCTCCATACTTAATGATCTTCAAAAGCTGACTGGATGTGGTCCCAGGTAATATGCTCTAGCTGACCCTGGTGGGAATGAAACACTTGGACTAGATGATCTCCCAAAGCTCCTCCCAACCTTAACTGTTCTGTGCGATCTAGGGTCTTTTATCAAAAGGTGAATATTTTCTCAATAAAAATGAAATCAGTGTTTCAGTGACATAATGAAGTTAAATAGAACTTAATCTGCTCCAGTGTTCCTTAGAAGAAAAGACTCCAAAGGGCCCAGGTGCCCTTTTGAAGTTATTTGGGCTTTCAGCAGCTGCTGGGTTCTGAGACCTTTGCTCTCCCTGTTTTCCTGGCATGTTCCAGCTCCCTTGGCTGCTCCTGCTGCACCTGTGTCCTCTCTGAAAGCAGCCGTGGGCTGTGATGTATTTAATGGGAGCCACATGGCTAAAGCAGCTTGGCACCAACCTGCTGAGTGGGGTTTTTTTCCCCTTTGAATATGTGCATCCTAAAAGAGCTCAAACGTGGAGAGGAAGTGACTTCTGCAGCTCTTCAAGGTCACGAGGTAAGAAATTCTGTGTTTGCTGACTCTGGTAATAAAACAAAGGCAGGGATTTGATTGTGATTTTACTCTTGTCCCACTGTAATGATTTGCTGGCTTCCAGCTCCACCCATTGCTTTCTTACTTCTCTGGGTTTAAAGATTTGATTTAGAGAATTGGTATGATATGATGATACTGTCTGTTCCTACAGCTCTGGTGACCCTGTTGGTTGGTTTGGATGACTGGGTGTGCTCAAAGTTAAAGGGGTGCTTTGTTGGGTCTCTGGGGGGAAAGTGAGAGATGAAACCTCTTTGTGGGCCCTGCTTCCCCCAAGGAAGGTAACAAAATCTCCAGTATTACTGGTAAGGTTTGTGTGAGGATACATCTTCCAGGCCTGGAAAACCCAGGGTTAGAGCCAGGCCATGCAGTGGTGTTGTGGTGCAGCAATTTGTGAAGCCAGAGTGGGGATCTTGTGTGTGCCAGCTCAAGAGCCAAGGAGGTGGTGAGCCAGCATTGTGCTGCAGGCTGGGGTGCTTGTGGCCAGGTCTCCTGGACACTTGCTCCCCTTGCAGCCATTGCAGGCTCCAGGCTTACTATGCACACAGAGGTGACAAAATGCAGATGAACAGCAATGCATGCCAGATGCAGCCAGTGAAGACATAGGGAGGGACTATGTCTGACTGAGCAGGCTGGGGTTGCTCTCCACAGCCACATCATCTTTGGAGATTAGGAAGAAATCAAAGCTGCAGCCAGGAAAGTGGTAATTGATGGATAAGAAGCGGTTTATTTTGCTTTTCCTTGTCAACTGTTTGATTCCCCACCAAACTTCTTCAGTGACCAAAAGCTAGAGCTGATCAAGCTCTGAGACACAAGGTGTCCTGGAGATCTCCATATCTCTCAGATGTTCTTGCTAGCTGGGCTGCAGTAGTGCTCGGCTGATATTTTTCACATCACATGGTTTATATTTTGTTTTACAAAACCAGTAAGGAGTGATTTCAATCTGGGTAATGCTGTCTCTCTTTGATTCATCCTAATCCTCTCCCTGGTGTGCTGGGCTCTCATGCGGGTTGGATCAGGTCTCACAAGAGCTGTTCATCCTGACTGCTCTTTGTGAAGTTCAAACTACAGCATGTGTATTGTTTCTTTCTAAAATTGTTAGTCCAAGACGCCTTTGCTGTGGTCCTTTAGTATCTCTTTCTTTTTATTATGGCATTTGCTCTTCGGGTTTATTCAAAAGCCACCTTGCCCAGCTTGCTGGGTCATTGTTGAACAAGAAAGTGCTCACTGTTATTCAACAATTCTTTGATCTAGTTTGCCCTTCTCTGTGAAAAGCTTTGCAGTGCCTCTGCCTCAGGTGGGTTTCTAGGACTCAAATTTGGATGAAGACATGGAGAGGGAGGAAAAGGGAATTGAGTGATATAAGCTCTGGGCTTTCCCAGCTTGATGAAGCATCTCCATTAGAGTGAATCCAAAATACTCTTCTGCCTGGATGTTCTTAATGGCTCATCTGTTACTTTAAGGTACGAAGGCAGGACAGTTACTTGTGTTTTTTCAGTGTCTCAGACTGTGCCTTAGGCTTTGCAATTGTTCATGTGTGCAGTTTGGGGTGGGAGTGGAAAATGCATGCATTTGGGTTTTTTTGTTTGTTTGTTTGGTGTGGTTCGGATTTTGGTTTGGGTTTTGGGGTATTTTTGATGTTTTGGATTTTTTTACTTATTCCTCAGCTTAGTTCTGGTGATGGGCAATTCTCTACCTGATAGACAGAATCAGGGCACAGTCAAAATCTCCTATTGTAGTCAGAGTGAACTGGGACAGTACTTCACCCGTTCTGCACCTCCTGAGTGTTCTCCTCCCTAAGTAAATGTCCCCTCCTGAACTCATGTCAGGCAGTGCCAGTGTGAGGCAGTGGCTTCTTCTGAGTGACCTTCAGTGTGAGCAGCGAGTCTCTTCCTGGAATTCTTAAGTTACAAGGAATAGCCTCAGCTATTTCATGAGCTTTTTAATTATATCTGTAAGGGAGCAAATCTACCTGATATGTGGCGTGGAGGGTGCTGCTGCTGAGCCTCACCTTTGCTGCTTCATTGCTCCTGATTTAGGTAACACCTAAAACTGAAGCAGCAAGGGGATCGCTTTCAGAAGCTGGCTTGGTCTTCTGGCTATGACAGAGCAGCTCAACTGTCCTGACTTTGGTCTGCAATTGTAAAACAAATGTAAGTTTCCTCCCAGTTTGTTTATTTATTTCAAATTCATAATACCAGCACACACAGGGCATAACACGTGACTTCTCTGGAACAGCAAGTCTTTTGCAAGGTATTTATTTTAGGCTTCTGTTGAACACATGAATAAACTAGCAAAAGAAAGAAATTACAATTACAACAATGATGAGGTCAATCTTAGAGAGAAAATTGTCTTGAGAGCACCCACTTAAGTGAAACTGTCACTTGTGACAACTGTGTACATTCATGGACACAGCAGGATGCAATCGATTAATGGCTCCTTTGGCTCAATGGGAGGCGGAGAGGCAGCTGTCTCTGATTTTTAGCCTTCTTGCACACCAATGCTTTCCACCGGGGAGTGGTAAACAAGGATATTCTGACCATCCCGTAGTTTCAAGGTGACATCCTGAAGGCACCAGCTGACACAAAACAAAGGAGATTTTTAACTTCTATCAATCACAGTAGTAAAGTCAGTGTAGAAATAGCTGGCACAGAGAAACAAATCATTCCACACTTCTACTGCTTTTAAAAATTCTCTCAAACGTTTTAAAACTTGGTTTGCAAGTGCCAGCTTCTGAAAGCTGTTCTCCCTAATAGCATAGCACAGCCCAGATTCAAAGGTCTGAGATGCCTGTTTCCTATTTGCTGCAACTCAAATAAAATCCTGCCAGCTCTTCTTAGATAGGATATTCCTCCTCTGACCCATTGCCTTTTTTTCCTCTCCATCCTGCGGGTGCATTCCTTACTCCACTCCTCTCTGGCCTTGGAGCCAGACGGTGTTGCTAAGGAATTATCCTGGCTTGGAGGAGTTTGAACACTGTGTGATCACTCAATGTGACTGCTGAAACCCTGACAGGGTACAACAGTGGTTACTCAAAGAAGGAAAACTGCATTTGTTGGAGACTGAGGGGGAGTCTTTTCCTTCCTCTAAGCTCTGCTCCAAACCCACTTCTGAGAGACTGTTCATGCTGCTTTTCCAGCTGGAAAGGACTATTATTTTGGGGTACTAAAACAGGATTTTTACAAAAGCTCCTGGTGCTCACCCAGCTCTGCTTTTGCTGGAGTCAGTGCTGAGTACATACAATTAGGTAATTAGGCTGCCGCACCTCTGTGCAATGGGTCTGCAGCAGGGCTCTTTGCTCCCTCTGCTTCCACTCCCAACCCAGGACAAGCAACTGCCTCCTTTATAACCGGGCTTGAAGGAGGAACTGCTCCCTCCCCACAGTGTGGCCTGGGATCTCAGCCCTTCTCTCCATTCACTTTGGGGCAGGCAAGTGTCATTTTGCACAACTGGTGCCTTGGTTGCCCTCGCCTCTGGACACCCTCCCCACCCCTGCACTGCCTGCGCTTGAGCGAATGCCTCTTCCTCCTGCTCCAAATGAACTCACAGATTCCAAATTTCCCTTTTTTCAGTTGCCTTCTCTTTTATAAACAAATAAACCCCTACGGACAGACTGCACACTCAGAGTCAGATGCATTTCTGTGGCTTAGGAGCCTACACTATTCTTGCACAGAGCACTCAACTCCCAGTGTCATAGAATCATAGAATCAGCTGGGTTGGAAGGGACCTCCGAGATCATCAAGTCCAACCCGTGATCCACTACCGCTGTGGTTGCTAGACCAGGGCACTGAGTGCCACATCCAGTCTCATCTTAAAAACCTCCAGGGATGGAGAATCCACCACTTTGGATGGGCAGCCCATTCCAGCGTCATGGAATGGGTCTGACTGCCTCCCCAGTCACTGCTGGAAAAGCACACATGTATAATCTGTGGAACTCCACTAGGATAGCCTGTGTACATGTTTGTTACTCCCAGCCATTTTACTGTTAGTTCCTCAGCTGGGTGCAAGGACATCAAGTCCTGCCTTAGCCCCACATGAAGCTGTACACAGGACCCTGCACACAGATGGAGTTGGTTGAGTCTGATGTAAATCCTCTTACAAGAAGATGCCTTTTTTTTTTATCTTAAGCTTATAGAAATACACGGAGAGCTTTAAAAACTTTTAAAAACACTTTAAAACAAAACTCTGAGAGATATATATATAAGCATTAATGTAGTTCAACACCTTGCAATCTTCAGTTATCCTCACAGTAACTGTGAGCATGGAATGTCAGGGAACTGTTATTTCCCTAGTCTGTGAGGGGCTAAGGAGGAGCGAGGAGATCAGAGCTGAGGCACCAAGGAAGTGATGTGTGCAAGAAAGGTGGCTGGGGACCTCTGGGGTTATCTCTGGTCACTAGGGAGGAGGCCAGGCCTGGTACTGAGTTTTTCAAGTCCCAGTCTAGTGCCTTACTCACATCATTTTACACCTTACTGCCTGTACTTACTCAGAAGAGAAACACTAAGTCATGCTCATCTAATTATGAAAATAAAACATTACCATATGGCTGGTGGCAGCTAAGTAAGAGTTTTGTAGCTTTTGGTTTTCAAATAGAGCTAACAGAAGTACCTAACAAGAGCTTTGCATCTAATAAAACAGTCTTTTGCAATGGAAGATGGACTTTGAATTCACATAGCAATTCTTTGCCCAGTTCTAGAAACCAGTTTACCCTTGACAAAGGAGGTTGTCAGGCTTCAGTACTACAAAAATGTAAAGTCACTTCTATATAATGTGGAATCAGAGCATCCTTCAACTGTAATATATCTGTTCTAGCAATTTTTTTTAACCATAAGGACCATATTTATGAAATGAAAAAAAAATCCTGCATTTTCAGCTCGCCTTGCATGGCTCTGATGAAATGTGTGATTTGCTTACTGCAATCCATACCAGACTAGAGTTAGGATTGCTGTTCAACAGCCTCTCACCTTTGTGGGGAGCAGGGGTGGAAGGGGACAATGCGTTACCTTGGCTTATAGTATTTGTATGTGTACCAAGCTACAGTTTGCAGAACACAGTTAACACAGATGAATGGCTCATGTTGCTCTTCTATTGGCACTCAGAGAGATGAATTCAATATATTTCTCAACTAATTTACATTTTAGTCATAATGATGTTAATGACCTTTCACAAGACCTTCAGACAGGAGTTTCCGCTTGCTTTGTGTGCATGATCTCAGCAACACGGATGACTAAAGCAAATATCCTGCTCTACTCTTCTCTCCTACCACTTCTTTCCCTGCATCCAGACATTTCTCCCAGCACCTCCCCCAGTACACACCGCTGACGGGAGTGGTCCATCTCTGAGTTAATGTAGAGGTATCCCGCTGATTTTGTTCCAGATACTGGTAGCTTTATCTGCAAATGTAAAAGCATGTTAAAGATTCATCGAAGCAAAAAGGACATTTACTCCTTCTACAGTTAAAGATATAACACCTCTTTACCTTAAGCTCTAAGTATGTTTTTCACTGTATCTCAGTCTGACCAAGCCATTCTAACAGCTAACATGTGTGTGGCTACACAAGTATGCCTGTTCTGCCATGCATTAATCTCTCTCTGCTGAAAGAATGTACTGTTACAGCTGCAACCCCCAGGGAAAATCACTCGCTCTCTGAAATATTTATGAGCAAACACCTTTCCTTACCAGAATGCATGGTCATCCAGAGTTAACCTGCACTGTTAGGGCTTCTCATAACCATAACAAGCCAGTAGGTTGAGATCCTCTACAGATCAGTTCCTCAACACACACCAAGGCAATAAGACTTTCAGTGATTTTTACTTTTTTTTTTACAGTGTCATAAATTCTATCACTCAGTTATTGACAAACAAAGCTGGAGCTGCAGCAGTGACCAAGGTGGCCAATTGCACTTGGTCTAATGTCTGAAAAAAAGAAATATGTTTCAGGTGTAGCATTTGCTGGCGGTGTTGTAATCACAAAGAGAAAATGCCAGGTGTTCTCCAACAGACCCAGGAGATGGGAATGTTATGGAGTCAGTAAACTGACCTATGTTATAATGATGATTTACTAGTTTGTTTTATGAGAACATGAATGCTTAGGAGCATGAAAAAGCGGAGAAGAAAGTTGGTGGTTTGTGTCTTGGGTGAGGTCGGTAGAAGGCAGGGTTTGACTTCACCCTGAGTCACCCAAGTGACTAGCATTCTTAAACAGTGACATAGGAAAACACCAGTGGGAAAGGTTATCTGCCTTTCAGTCAGCATAAGAGATTGTGTGGGGTTTTGCACATTTGTTTCCTTAGACATGTTTCTTGGTAGAATCTATAAAACCTGGGAAACATTTTGGCACAGGGTATCATGTGAGTGCAGCCTAGCTGGAGGGAAATGTAAAGAAATTTTATATGAGTTGGTTAAAGGCTGGGGTTTTATCTTGCCCTGATAGTCCCTCTCCTTCATGTACCATCTGAATCATTCCTTAATGCCCTTGCTCAGTCCCTAAAATTCAGAACTACTCAACAGGAAGAACAAAATTATTCTGATGTGACAAGTTACCCCAGTGAAGGACCTGGAGAGTCGATAGGGACGTTTTGTGTCACCAGCAAAACAAGGGAAGGGCAACTAGCCCTGGATTAAGGGGTAAAAACACTGATGGAAAGTCCTTTTCAGGCAACAACACTGAGTGGAGGTGGACTTGTGTTAGCAAGGTTTGCTTGGGCCCAGCCCTGAGCTGACACAAGGCAGCCTTGTGCAATACTCCAGCACGCAGTGCAGCATTTTCCAGTCACTATGTAACCCCCACGCTCAGTCTCAGGCTGGGCAGCAGTTCTCCATGACACAAACTTACAGGTGCTTTTAAAAACCACACCACCTGTGCTGTACTACAGCATAGCCTGTAAGTGGCTATAAAACTTCACTCTGAACAAAGCTTTAAAAACTAGCAGGGGATATATCCGGGGGGGAAAGGAAGACAGGTGCTATTTTAAAGCTGGATCTCATATGTATCTGAAAATAATTTTGTGGCTTACAGTTGCAGGAGGGCTATCAACTGGCTTGAGAGGTCCCTTGGCATTCTGTGATGTGCCCATATAGCACAACAGGAAGATGCTGCTATTGCTGTTTCTAGTCTAGTAGATTTATACTTTGGAAATCCATTCGTCTTCCAAATCAACTGATATCCTATTCTACTGCCTTTCAGTGTCCTCAAATGACTTATGAGCTGCTGATCAGGTCACAAAATCCCCTGGCTGATCTCTTGTCACCTGACATCTTGGGAAGCCACCCTGTGACACCACCTCCCCAGCATTACCTGTGCTCTTTCTGTGTCTACGCGATTACTCCCATCTGTCAGTCGGATGTTGTGAACCTTAAGAGGGGGGGCACCCAGGGCTTCCAGGGCATCAGGATTGCTGTTCAGTTGCTCCAAAGCTTGCTGGTAATACTGGGTCCTGGCAAAACTTTCTAGGTGAGAGAAACAGGGTAGTGAGGAGACTGTTCACTTAAAATCAAAACATATGCTAAAAAAAAAAATTTCTCAAGATTACCACACCTTTCCTGACACACAGTCCAAAACTATTAATTAGGAGAAATTTGGCAAAAGGAAGAAACACACCCCGTCATCAAATGTTATTCAACTCATTTAAGTGAAAAGGGCCCTGAACATAGACTGTTCCATACTGACATACTGTACAGCTTATGGCTGTGTCTCCTCACTTTTCATGCATTTGTAGGTCATCTAAAAGGAAGAAAAATAAGAAAAAAAGGCATAAAGATGAATATCTGAAATGTTCTAATGGCAATTCAAGTTTGCGGGTTTTTTTTATAGGAGGCACATAAAATACTTTAGGAATGGAGAATATTTTACAGACATTGACATAAGACAGGAACAGCTGCTGCTGTGGAACTATTGCTGTGGTCTTGATACAGCTTTCCAAGTGGCAGCCACAAAGCTGCAACCCTACCAACAGATGCATTAAAAGGGACAGATGCATTAAAAGGGAGGCACAAGGAAGCACCATTAGAGTTACTGGTCAAGCAGCCACAATAGCACAGGAGATGGATGCTGCAGTGTTGGCATATGGAGGACAATTGAAGTAAATTGCTATTTATCAATGTCTGGTTGCTATGTGTAGCTGTGCTGCGGGTGCCAGTGGACAGTGCAGAGTTGAGAGGCTGGAAACTTGCCGACCCTCCTTATGGTGGCAGGTATTTGCTTATTAACAGTTTTAAGGCTTGCTTGCTGAGATTTCTAGATTTACTCAAGCCAGCATAACTTCAATCTCTTGACACCAAGAAGGGTAGAATTAAGCCAAAAGTGTGCATTTGCAAAAATCCTACTCTGACAACTTTGCCCTCACATTTCAGAGAGTTTAGCACAAGGTGTAAGGTTTGTTTCCTAGTCTCTTGCCTGTCAGTATTAATCTTGGAGCATGAGGCAGAAGGATGCTGCCCCCTCTTCCTAATTAGAGGCATCCTCTGTGAGCAGGCAGCATCCAGTTGGCATAGAAACAGCTTTGCTAGGCTGCAGCCTGCGCTGGATCTCCCCTGGCCCCCCTGGACCATCTTAAGGAGCTCCAGCACGCCAGTCATTTAGTGCCTACAGATTATGGCAAACAGCCACCCAGACCACGTTAAAAATATGATGTTGTCCATCCTGCAGGTTGGAGGGGAAAGGGGTTCTAGTTTCCTGGTGCTCCTTCTCAGCTCTTCCTTGTTAGCATCTCATGCATTAAACATAAAATACCCAACTAATCCATTTGTTCACACATCTCTTGGTAGAAAAGCTGAAAGGATGCTGGAGTTTGCTGAGCAGACCGGTTCCATGAGAAGGGTGTGGAGGTGACAAGAGTCAGTAGAAACAGGATTACCTGAGTGTTTGCACAGAGACCACGTGCACGCAAACTTCCCTTCAGTCCAAAGAAAGGGAAGAAACCCTCTCCCGCTGCCTGCCACCAACTTACCAGACAGCTACTCAGTGGCCCCTGATATTACAACAGAGGCAGAAGTAGCCATCGTGTTGCACCACTTGATTGCACAGCTAAGTGATGCAGGAACCAGCCCACTTTACTTGCTGTATAGCACAGGGGGTGACTTCCCCACGAGATTTCTAGATAACAATGCTGAAGTTGAAAATTAAAAAATGTTAATGTCCTTGTTAAAGCCAGATTCAATATTTTAAAGCAAAGGATCATATTTCCATGTAGTCTGGAGCTTGAGGGCATGAGCTGCCTAAAATTAAATCCTGCTTTCCAGCCTTGTCTGATTTATTATTAATATGTGTAAAATGAAGGGGAGGTTTCAGAGCTTATCTGAAGGCTTGAGGAAACAGGCTCAGCTACACTTTTCTGGCAGCATCCTCTGATATAAGGGTAGGTGAAAAGCAATAGTCTTTGATAGCACCAGCAAGAGGCCTATAGCACCCCCTGAAAGAGAGGCAAAGCCTATTTCTGTTCTGATGCTAAATATCTAGAAGCTGTTTTAGAGAAAGGCAACATCTATCATTTGGACTAGTAATTTGGATTCTTGGCCAGAGACGTGTAGCAACTAGAGATGTCTATAAACAGCAACATCATCTGTCTAGTTTTTCTCTCCTTGTCCTGGTCTTCTCAGTGCTGATGCTCTTATCTATCCCTCATTCAGGAGAAACTAATGACGTCTTAGCACTTCACAGGTGCATTGTGTTTAGGGGCAGCACCACATAGAGATTTACAGATAAAACTGCTAGATACTAATACCTTCTTGCAGATGGTCCTTTTTTTCTGCCCAGTTATAAAATCTCAGTGAAGAAATGAAACCTGTATTACTGCCTAAGCTTTCACTTCACCCTCAGGAAACCCCCAAAACCCAGACTTTCTTCTGACCACAACAGCTTGCTTCCTATGCAATATTCGCCTCTGGAAGTGCATGCAGCAGTGCTTGGGAGAGCAAAAGCCCTGGGGATGAACAAAGCAGAGCCCACAGAGGCAGAACCCAGAGGCTCACCCACACTTCCCTTAACTTCATCTGCTTTTCACATCTTGCATGCTGCTATTTTCCCTGCTACACAAAAGCCAATGAAAGGGGCAGAGGAGAAATAAGGTTGCTAACAGCAGCAAGACTTACTTTGCATAAGATTATACATCACGATGCATCCCCCGCCACTGAACAGTCCCATGAAAACAGCCATTTGCTGCAGTTTTTTCAGAGAAGCTGGCATTTTTCCTCCCTGAAAAGAAAAAGGGAAGACATTTGTTGTAAAAGAAGAAAGCCAAAGGGTTACTTCTCCCCCTCCTCCTCTTTCCTAAAAGCCCTTTCCAACCAGGCCTGAATGAAAGTGCAGTGCACAGGCATTGGGCTCTTGCTTGCTGGGGCCCCACCGCTGGCCCAGAAGGAAGGGTAGTGAGAACAGAGCATACTGGGAACCCAGCTGGGTTGAATGTTTTTATTCAACTTCTTTTAGTGATGCCACCACTTCACTAATTGCTGAGAAGAAAATGACCTCCCTGGTGTGGCTGGGGGCCAGTGCGGTGGCATTGTCGTGGGGGCTGCCGGTGCCCGTGTGCTCGTTCACACACTGTGAGCATTCAGGCTCCGGGGGCCAGATTTCTCTCTCGAGTAAACTCCTCTAAAGTAAACACGCTTGCGGCAGGGATGGATTTGGCCTGGAGTCTTAAGGGACAGAGCCAAGCCAGCGCTGTGCCAGCAAAGATAATGGAGCCAGGGTGTGCGTATTCTGTTGTGTCATTTTTTTTCCCAAGCCATGGATAAACAGGAAGGCTCTTGCAAGCTATTTTTCTTCCTTCCTGCACCCCCTAGCCCAAACTTGCCCTGTTAATGAGTCACAATTTTGGCATTTGAATGTATGACCCAGCAGAATAAGAAACACCTCTGAGAAAGTCAACCTACTAAACATTTCCACAGTTTGAGTAAGAGGGGGACTGTGTGGCCTGAAGAGCCTGAGCTAATGTTCCTGCCCACAGCAGGTTAGTAGGATTCAAGCTGAGTCGTCAGTGGGGGAGTAGCATGTTGCTTCAGGCTGTGGCAGGATGGGACTTGAACAAGCATCTGAGTATCAGCTTATGCTCTTGATACTCTTGCAGCTGGGATGGGAAAGAGGAATGGTTTTGACAACAATTAAAAAAACACATTAGCAAAAAGCTGCTCTTTTCAAAGAGGCATGTAGACATACAAATAATTGAGGTAACTGTTTGGGATTTCTAATCCCAAACACTTGTCACATGATGGTGTGACTAAACGTTACACTCAGCAAGAGCTGGTTAATAAACCAAGGCCCAAACCAGCTACAGAAATGTGACCTGGGCAAGGCCGTTTTGAGTCCTGCTGTGAAAACCACCTCTAGCATCCCTCAGGTATGTGTTAGTCAGATATTGTTCAGTTGACAACCACAGTTTAGAGAGGGTGGAGAGGCAAATGTCAGGACTTCTTCCCATCGTGGCTGGGTCAGGGTGACATTGGCAGCCTCCCTCTGCTCACGACTCTGCTGACATGCCCATATGCTGCCTCTTGCATGCTCTAGCCTGAGGAAAACTGAGTGCAACTCATGTATAAATTTCATCTACTGCTCTGTTGGCACTAGCATTTAATTGTAAAGCATGCTATTCCTCCAGTGGATGCTTTCCTTATTAACTAGTTCCCTTGATTTTAAAGAATTCTTTATATTTAGGTTTACTGTTTAATTTACTTCAAATTTGTGGATCACTAGTAGTGATAGAAATGTCTATTTTATGTCCCAAAATGCCCAAATTATGCCATTGGTACAGTCCTCTTCCTCCTGATTCGTTTCTCTGATGAGTTTTCTTCATTGCTTCCCCTGAGGAACTTGAGGGGCATGAGAAGTTGCAGCAGAGGAAATACAAGTGTGGTTTTACAGGGAAACAGAGGTAGCCATTTCACAAGGATAGTGAGAGCTTTCTGCTTGCATGCTTGTGTTTGCAACTTTCCTTAAATCCATGTAAAATCTGATTAATAACTAAGTTTCTTGTAAGATTCATCTGGCCAAGAGGAGGATCTGACACTAACACCACATAACAGGGATGGGAAGAAAAACCATGGTAAATCTGGAGGGAGGATCAGATATAACAGGTTGTGACCTGTGGCATTTGTTTTTGCCCCTTCCAAAGTTGTGGCTAGGCAAAATTTGCTTTCTGTGATGAAATTCAGGGTAATTGAATGCAAATGTCTGGGGGTGGGGGTACTGCTGGCAGTTTGCTGAGTAAGAGAGGGAAGACGTGGAGCTCTTGCACCAGTGAGGAGGTTCTGACTGAGGCTCAGAGGACCTGACTAGCAAACAACGGAAATCAGAGGCTCTGTAACTCGCTGTCAGTGGGTTTGAGGTTTGTTAGGTCTCACGCTCTGCTTGCACCCAAACAAGGGAGATGGATGGAATAGGAAGAGCTTTGTGCTGACCAGTCACATGCTCACACAGAATCTCATCACCACCACTGTCATGCTGAGACAGTGACATTTGGTGAGGGAGTTTGGCTGCTGAGAAATGGTGATCCCATTAAGCACTGCTGCCCCTGATGTGCTGTCCCTGCTTGCGGATGTCGTCTGTTGCTGGTCCTGGTGAGGCAGAAGTGTGGAGGGCTGAGGTGTGCCCAAGGTCCTCTTTACGGTATGTAGCTGGTTGTAGTTGGCTTCCTGCCAAACCCCACTGACTACAGCTGAAAAACCTCCCAGAAGAATGAGAAAAAAAATGGAATAGCAAAAGCTATATAAAATATATATATTTTATGTATATCACAGATATACAATTAAGGTACTATGTACATACGAATACAGGAACCCCAAATCGCTCCCAAAAGGGAAAGAGGGGAAGGGAAAAGGGGAAAAAAAGGGACAAAAAGGGATAAAAAGGGACAAAAACATAACAGTTGTGCACAACCAAAAAACCCGGTAACCAACAAGATAAAGAACTAGCAAAATCTCACCACTTCCCTTGACAAAAGCAGGACAGCCAGACGCAGCCCAGCACTCTCCCCTCATGCGTGATAGACAACAGCAGTTGCTGCAGGCCTCAGCTCCAGAAAAGCAAGGCCGACACAGGGACCTACCATTCCCAAACCTCACTGGAAGAAGAGAGAGAGGTCTCTCTGACCAGCTTATTTATACCTCAGGTTACGTAAAGGAATAGCATGGAATACTTCCTTGGTCACTTTCCTAGTTCCTTCCTGGTTACAAGCTGGTCTCCAGGAAGGCCTAGACTGAAACTATCACATGGTAACAGGGAGAACATCTCCATTGCTTGCTTTAGGTCACAGTGGGAAGCCCACGGGCTGGACCACCCCATCCCCTGGCTTGACCTTGATGCTCTCCTCTCACTTGCTTCTCAATTGTTTTCCCAAGCCAGTCCTATGGCAGCACATTGTGGGAAGAGGTTCAGAGCTCGGTGTTTAACAAGCCTCTCAAGACTTTGCAAACCCAAGGACAGAAGTGTCCTTGGAGCCCAGTGCATCACTCACAGGAGGGCTGCTGCTTCCCTTCCCTGCCATCCTGGTCCCTGGTGGAATGGATGCTTGGATATTACATCTTCTGGCACACAGCTGCTGATGACTTCTGAATGGTGACACTGGAGAAACTAATGGTATCAGCTTGTGGAAGACCAAAACGTAGTAAGGATCTGTTGTATGCAAGAACTCATCACTAGGATTTCTGTCCTATGGCCAACTGTGTTTGCTGCTCCAATCTGCTGAAGTGCCGTGGAGGTGGCTCACTAGGGAAGGGAAGCAGAGGTGTGCCTAGAGGCATGCTTCCTGTCCTGAGCATTTCTGAAAATTGCTTACAGCCTGCAAAGTGTAGAGGCTCTCAAAGGGAAGGATCAAAGCCCCTCCACTTCATTTGCCACAAAGGCAGTAACTGTAAGAATGCATTTGGAAGAATCTTACAGATATAGGGGCAATTGCCTCCTAAGGAGGGAAGTTCATGTTGCTATCTGTGTGATCTCCCCTCAGAAACTGTTATACCACTAAAAAAGTATGCAAGTCAATTGGTGGAAAAACAGATTTCTTCACAGCCGGTAATTAAAAAGGCACAGTTTCCAAGCTACGCTGTTCTGCAGACATCTTTTCCTCCACCTCATATGCAGTGGTAAGAAAGATTAAGTGGAGATTAGCACATACAAAAATCAAGAGAAGAGACACTAAATCACTGTAAGTAGTGTTCTCAAAAAATAACTAGTAAAGAGCAGAGCATTAAAGTAATGGTAATGTTTGCTTTGTGTCTTGAAAATAGCAAGATATGGAGGAGAAGGTAGTATTCAGGATTGACTTTGAAGCTGAGTGGGACTCAGGCAGTTAATGAGACTTAACAAACCCAGAGAGGTAGAAGACTCCCAGGGTCACATGTGAAATGGTGGGTTACTGTAACAATAAAGTCTGTTTCTAATTAGACTTTGTTTTCTCCACAGAGGATCTTCTAAAAATAGGCTGGCCTTAAGAGAGTCTCCCTTATTTTTCACAAATTTGAATTTTCTGTCTCATCTCTGAAATTCGTTTGGCAGAGGTTGGTCTCAGGCACCTCCATCAAAGGCGGGTAATAGTGAAGCAAGGGCATTTTCACCAAGACTCAAACATTAATTTTATTTTCCTCAGAACTGAGCAAGGGAGCTGGGACTGCAGGTTCTATAGGGAAGGCATTTTCTCCTCCTTCTCCTACTCCTGATATCACCAAGCTCCCCCAGCATCTCCAGATTCTGGGTCATATCACAGATCAAACAGTAAACAATAATATTGCTCTGAAATAAGAGAGAAGTAACTTGATCCATGCAAACTCAGTGTGATTGCTGGCTAACTCGATCTGGGCTAGTGCCTACCCAGCTCATCAATACAATATAATGAGAGGCCACTAAGGCAAGCATCTGAGAGCCTTTAAACCACCTTGAACCACTGTAGTCCTGAGGTATTGACATGACACACTAAATACATGTGGAAAAGACTACAATGAAATTAAAATTTATCAATAGACCTGAGCATCTAACTTCAAAGCTGGAACTGTTGCCTGACCCTTCTGCAATGAAACATCCCCTTGGGCTGGTGGGATTTGAATTGGCCCTAGGTCCAGCTTTTCTGCAAGCCACTGAGGAAGTCACAGAAGATGAAGGGAAAGTCAGGCAAACTACACAAGAGCACACACTTGTATTTCACATTCTTGCTTTCCTGCCTATCCATTGATCTTGTAAGATCCATAAGGCATTTGGGTGTATGCCAA